CACAATAGCAGGAATACCGTCAGGCCCACTCGACTTGTGGATATCAAGGGAGAAAAGAGACTTACGTACCAGCTTTTGGGTAAATTTTACCTCTGGCATAAAAGTCTCACACCGCGAGATGACCGGCGGTGATTGCTCCCTATTGTCCAGTGTCGAGTTGGATGCAAAAAGAGACCCAAGGAGATCGGCCTTCTCTTTAGCATGTTGAGCCAACGAGTTATCCTCTCTGCGCATTGGTGGAAAAGATGGCTGACAGAAATTTCCCTGAGCAGCTTTGGCAAGAGACCAAAAAGCCCGGGATCCAGATGGAAGACTGTTTAGTCTCTTACCAATTCTACTGATGTGCTCCGACTTTGCTGTGGCAATAACTCTTTTGAAGGACCTGGAAGCGGAGTTATACTTCCTTTTATGGGCACTGGTATCTGGATCACTCGACTTCACAGCTGCAATCCAGGCACGGAAGCATTCCTGCTTATGGCGAGACGCCGATCTACAGGATCCGCCATACCAGGACTGAGATCTACCACCGACAGGTACCTGGGAATTTGGAATAAACATCTCCATTCCCTGAAGTACTACATCGGTGACAGATTCAGCTATTACATCAGGATCGTCCAGTGCGAAGCAAACTCGCCCCCATAGGTAAGATGAAAAAAAACTTCGCATCTCATCCCAATCTCCCGACATAAAATGCCAAACACGACGTCGACCAGTAGATCGCGGCAAAGAAGGACGCGTGAGAGGCACTTCGCTTCGTATCAGACAATGATCAGAGGATCAGTGGGGCTTCCACAGAGATCTGATATCCGTCCGGATGAGAAGTCAGCAGAAGGTCCAACAGTGAAGGTGGTCAACAACATCAGGAATTCGCGTAGACGAGGATACCAGTTGCGTCAAAACATATGCCAAAGCAAAGCCATGAACAGATCTCCCCGCATAGTTGGTGGTACGTGAACGAGCCATTCAGCGTGATGGGCGTTAAAGTCACCTAGAATCACGACCTCAGCGGAGGGAATCTGTTGGACTAAAAAATCTGTAGCCATTTCGACGTGTTCAATGAGTCTGCAGTGTCGGTGTTACCGCTATGGGACCTGTATAAGCATGCATAGATGCGGGGGTGGTTATCGCAAACTACACGCAACCATAAAATGGACAGGTCAGTACCTTCAAATGTACCAAGACGGCGACAGCAAATATCCTCTCTGACATAAGCGCACACACCGGCCCGTGGAATAAAATGGTGTTTCAATTTATATATCCAGGGTAGGTCAGGTACGAAATTTCATCGGGACAGGATATTTGCGTCTCCGTAAGGAAGAGCAAAGCCGGCCTCGCCGTCTCTAGGTGGTGGTGGACGGCGTTGAGATTGGAATGAATTCCCCTGATGTTGCAAAAACTGACTATGAGCAAGGGAAATGCCGATGGAGATTTGCTCGGTTTCCTGTTGGCCAAATTGAGCGGAGTATTGCCCACCCCAGAATACGCAGGGCAGCCTGAGTGTGATATCTCAGGGGTGGATTCTCCAGTAACACGGTTACTGGTACCACCCTGGGGTAAATATCTCTTATAGTCCGCTGCCATGGTATGTAAGACAGGGGTGGGTAGGAGGAAGTAGGAAAGGGATAGGGGGAGGGGGAGGGGCATCCGGAACCTACAGCTCACCATGCGAAACGCGATAACGCTTAACGTCGGTTTTCTGCCGAGGTGTGGTATTTCCCGGTTCGAGCGGCCCAATCGAGCTGAACAACCACGTGTGGTCGTACAGCTTGCTCTACCACTTTTAAAAATAGTGATAACAGCAGACCAATCCGGATAAGCCAGCCACAAGCAGCCCACTACGCCGTCACATGTTTGGACATTTTATGACGGATAAGCCAGCCATCATGCGCTCAAAATTACATATTTTTTTTTTTTTTTTAAAAGATGATAATGGAATGCACCAATGACGGTTTACCTGGCCCACCACGCCGTCACATGTTTGGACATTTTAGTGAGCAAATGACTACTCATTCCACACGACCACGGCATAGCTACTTAAAATTACTATAATGGTAGTTACAGTATTCGCACTTTACATGAAGATGCATGCGGCAATCAATACAAAAGCCGCTACGCTATCATATATCAAGAAAGCAGTATGAAAAAGAAATTATAACGTTGTCCGCAAATAAACTTATTCTTGCTAGATATTGCTATCATCTGTAAATTCATCTATCCTATGATAGGCTCTTTAGAGTTTAGGCGACTTGAGAGTTTTATGTTTATAGGTATGTATGTACATATGTGAATATAGGTACCTCTTTTAGTAAATTTAACTAAATATATATATTGATTTATTGCAAATGTAGTGGGTTGAGCAGATGTACTAAACCTTTTTTTAATTAGATTTGTCTTATTAATAGGCCGTTTTATTTATTTTTAATTGTAACATTTTCCAGGTCTGCAAGAGACAGCTTTGGTGATTTTTTTTTTTTGGTGATGATGCTATCGGTTACATACAAGTAAAAAGAGCAAGTGATGTTTGTACGGTCAAATTTAGAATCATGCGCGAACACCGCGTACGTACCACACTTTATCATTGCAGTTTAGAATGTAATGAAAAGGACCACAAAGTTTTAAATGTAACTTGCGATGATTGTGCCGACAAAAGAGGCTGTAAACGTACAATAGCATTTTTAATGTGGCTACATCGTCGAAGAGAGGACTAAACGACTGTTATCAAATTTGTTTGATTTTTTTGTGGTTATAATAAAAATAACTATTACTTTAGTGGTTGTATTTGTACATTTCGGCATAACACATGATTTTCTAGTATTTGGTTTGGTTATTTTTTAAGGTATTTATAATTTCTAATAAAGCGTAAGACAACTCCGTGCTGAGAGCGCGAGCGGACAGAGCGAGTGTTGTACTATGACGTCACACCGTCACACGAGTCCGCATCGCACATTTTCTTCTATAAATCGGAAACTAATTGACGTATTGAAGTAATTCTTTCACTTATATTTTTTATTTTTGACAGAGAATATGGAGAGCTAATATTCAAAATTAATTAACATTCTTCATTACCATAGAATGAATTACTAACTTTGTGTAGACGGCATTTGGGTAAAATTAGCTTATTTTTATTGCGTAAGTTTCTACTTGTACAGTCTTTAAGTTTCTTGAAACTATCTAAGTTTTTCCTTGTATACATATTTTTTTCATAATTACTATTATTATATTGTTACTATTATCTTTATTAATATTATAGAAACAAACAATAACAATGAAGGAACTGACTTCCTAATTTGTTTGTTATCTTTTAGCCCCTTCAGCCTAACCAATCGTAATTAATTCTGACATTAATGTAGCATTAGAAATAGATAAGGCAATGTACCTACTACGTAATGTTCATCACGGTCAACCATCGCTACGCAGATGAAAACACTTGCCGCAACTAGTGTTGTTTATAAGAGACAAGACAATACTTAATAATTTTACCCAAAAATCATTAATGATGCTTTTTTTTCGGACTACTCTAATCCTGATGGCCGGAGCTGATCTTTACAGCTTCATCGGTCGGTGTGGGTTATAATTAGTTTTTAATATAATTTAAATAAAAACTCTTGAAACGACTTATTATGAAATTATAATATTGAAACAAAACATACTTATTATATTATCAGACATGTGATAGATATTGACGATTATTATATAACGTCATATAGTTCAAGATAGATAATTTAATACCAAATAAAACGTACGTCTATCGTAACAATTCCATGACTTCAAAAATACTTAATGTATGTCTCTGACATGTTAGAGAAGTGATTGAAGTAGGTACAAAGTGATTACATATTTAGTTACAAAGGACTACTTGTCGCTAGGAAAATCTGTAGACAAATGATGTAAATAATGATGTACTAAACCTAACATCTAAAGTATGTCTCATATATAACCCCTTGATAAGTATAAATGAATAAGTGCCTGGAAAACATGAAAGCAAAAACATTAATACAAAACGTGCAATGTAATAATCCATATGAAACTATTAATCATTTTCCGACTATGTCAGACATATATTCGGGTGGTTTCAAAATATAATGAATACTTATCATAAATCGGGCATTGTACTATCATATTAATTTAGAATTAAAATTATTTGCAACAATATGTCACACACGGCTTGGTTCGTCACTGAGTGCCGACTCGCAGAAGACGATAGGTTTAGTCGTAAAGGGTTTATCAAAACAAAAGCTAGTATACTCACGTAACTAAAAACGGAAAGAGTGAAAATCTGAAATAAAAAGTTTGTTCTGAAATAAAGTTTTCTTTGTAAATTGATGACTTGACTTTTTTCTTATGAAATAAGAATGGCAAACAGATTGACGGTCCATTTAATGATAAGTGGTAACCCTCGCCTATATACAAGAATAGCATTACGGTCATCGCGTTATCATGTTACACACGGGACGCTCATGCTTTTACCGTTCCCGAGGTCTTCAGCTTAATCCACTTATCCTGTGAATTTTCCCCCTATAACCGAAACAAAGCTGAGAAAGCAAGCTGCTTGGGGACTTTATGGATAAGACTGAAATAACCACACATGCGACTTTCCGCAAAATTTGTCCCTTTAAAAAATATTGTAAAATATTATCAATTTTCCACTTCACTAATTGGTAAAATATGTATCATGAGAGTCGTTAAGAATTTTCACATTTATTTTAGCCTTTTATGACAGAGCGCGATTTCGACCACACCATGTGCAAAGCCCCTTAAACAAACAAAAGAATAATAAATCTATATAATCATAAAAATCTATGCCTTAATTTATCAGTAATCGAATAATTCTAACATATTTTTGGGTTGTGACGAGCACAATCATTATCGAACAGATTACCAATTATTAGATAACACTGCTTGGCAAAATAAGATAATGTTGGTATATATAATATGTATACATGGTAACATACATTATAATACCACAGATTCATATTTGTATTACCGTTTATTGAAGTCTTTGCTTTCGAGCAAATATGACTCGTCTGACGGTTGTGTTGACATCACTTGTGATCGCTGCAGCTGCTGTATCGCAAATACCAGAGCCTGGACAGCTGGCTCTTGTACTCAATGAGGAAGAATTTGAAGACTATCTCGATGCGTGGCTCGAGGTAGAAGAGCCCAAATGGGCAAATGCGACGGGTGAAAATACTAGAAATGGTACGTTTAGGTTTAGATAGCTAGTAGATTTAGAAGACGTATAACTCATGGAACATGAGTTATACGTCTTCTAAATCTTGTACTGTTTATATTGTGCTATATTTGATACAATTTTATATGATCGTAATTTTTATATAAGTTTGTGTGAATTGTATACTAGTATATTAATGATTTCATGAAATCCATCATAATCACCAATTATTATTATTTATAATGGCCTTTATTCCGATCTACTTACACTATACGTTTTAAAAATTTAAGAGCTAAATAGGTTATTGTAGTATTTATTTTCTGCAGATCTGTTTGCCAATCTGCAAAGGCCTCCTCCAATTATTTCCATTCTGGTCTTTCTTGAGCCATTATGGAATCCATCCAAATCTATTTAATCCCACGAATAATAGTTCCAATTTTGTTTTACTATCTCTTTAGTAAATGCTGTGTTTCTGTTTGAAAAGAGCTTTTTTTATACAATGGCAAACAAGCTAACGGCTAACCTGATGGCAAGCGCTAAATGTCCCCATATACTGATAGATAAAAATCCACAAAGGATATCACGTCGTCATGCAATGGTTGCGATAACACTGAATCGCAATACGAAGTAATTCACATTAGATCTTTATATATCATATTCGCAATACACGAGAGATGCACTGGACAATTTATGTTGTAATTTTATTATCTGAAACTTTTCAGTTATTAAAATAAAATAATTTCCCTACGATTATAATTGTGCAAATTACAAGTAAATCAACTCTTGCACCTCTTCTGAACGTAATTTTCAATTCAAAATAAATAAATAATGCAGTCGTAAAATAACACGCACGAAATTTGTGGTTGGACAATCAAATTACTGATTCCATTAATCATGTCTTTAATCAATCTATTTTATCAAGGATTATTCATAATTATTTCGAGGGCTCTTGACACCTTTCGAGACCATAATTATATCTACGATAAATAGGACGGCTGATCATATTCTAACGCTAAAACAAACTTCATACGGTGAAGCTGTCTCAATCGTATACATTTATTATGTTTGTTAATGATTTTTACCGACTATATTTGACTACCTCAAATATAGTCTGTATATAAGATTTAGATATAACGGCCATTACAACACTTTTGTTCCTGAGGCAGCCTATCCTATACCTAAATATAAGTACATATATACCTAACCAACAATATAATTAAGTTTTCTTAAAATTTATATTTGGATTTCTAAATGTGGTGTTCTAGACAAAAAGTATTTTCATCAGAATACGGCATGAGGAAAAAAAAGTGCAAATGCACGAATAAAGCAAAAATAAAAAACCACCTGTATTTGTGCTTTGTTTCATGTTCGCAAGAGAACAAAACCTAGAAGATAAATACAGTAGTGGTAGAGTAAATTTTCTTTTTTTACACACGTCCAGCAGTGGGACGATAAAAGATTGAGTACAACATCAGATATTGGATTCATCATGCTGGATTCACTCTACTACTAAATTTAAAAATTTGAATACGTACTGATCAGTTTCATGAAAAAAATATCGGTAATGGGATGTCTAAACATACTTTATACATAATAATCGTAATGAGGACCTAGATAAAACCAACTACTTATTCACAGGTTGCACAATCAGAGTAAACGGTGATCTTGGTCAACCACAACCTGTTTACATACGCAACAACAACTACGTTGTCCCTACTGGAAACAGTGGTGTCATCAACCTCAACACTGGAGATCAAATCCTCGTAGCGTGCACTGGATCTGGGCGCACCATTCAACATCCTAACATTCTGTCCTCAGTCCAGACTGCTGTAAGTACTTTAGAAATATTATTGATTAGTTATGCAAGGTTGCCTGTGTTAATAGTCAAAGAATATCTACGAGTATTTTCAATCTTGTTCATTTGTACACTTCATAGGATTATGACAATAGGTAACAGTGACAACTTTTCATCAAACGAACCATTTGCTTATTTCTTGTTGCAGTTGCAGAAAAAATGATGATGAAGATTAATAATAATAGTATAATATATCTACATAATCTAATGCTTTTTCTAGTATATTAAAAAGTACAATATGTAAATACAAAGTTTCTGTTTGTGCATCCATTGCTATAGCCAAACAGTATATTACCTGAAATTAAAATGATCTGATCAGTCACTCATTTGTCGGCGATCTGTAATAGAGGCGTTATAATAATTATATTATAACGCCTCTATTACAAAGTATATTGCCTCTATTAAGAGGCAATATACAGTTCTGAATTCATTTATGTACAGGTATTATTTATGTATAGATAAATTGAATATGATAAGCGATCTCAACTCATTAGTGAAATACTGATTAATTCAGAAGTAGAAGATTTTCACTAATGTCCGTAAGTAACCCGAATTGCCCTAAACTTTAATTTTTTAGGTTACAATATTGAAAAAAATTGTCACATCATAATTATATTTTAGACTAGTAGTAATATAAATAAATAAAAAGTATTCTATGTTCATTCTAATACCTCCAAGAATATGTGTACAAAATTTCTTGATGATCGGTTCAGTAGTTTTTGCAGGAAAGCGTAACAAACATCCCTACTTTGACATTTATAATATTACTTTATTATCAAACAGACAGACAGACAAAAATTGTAAAAAATGTTATTTTGGTGCATGTACCTTATTTATATTCATATGCATTCAGTAAATTTCAAAATTAAAAAACAGACACTCCAATTTTATTTATATGTAGGTGGTATAGATATATCTAGGTAATATTATTACCTGCTATTTTTTTGCATTTAATATGATAATATTTAGGTAATAAAAGTTATAATAAATAATAATTGTTTATATTTATACCTACTTAGTCTGAATTAATTGCAGACGGCCTCTTGTGTTAGTAACAATTTGGTGTCCGGTTCTGGATGGCTTAGTGGGAACGGTCAGTTTGGTCACCTTACTTGCTCAGCTCACGCCTTCCACGACGCTTTGGCAACTAATGACCGCTGTTTCAATAACAATTTAGTTATTAGGTAAGTTAATACCCGTAATTAGGTAGGTACAATTCTTTTATATATAATAAATATATAAACAATGACAACAACCTTTTAACTCCAAGTCGTGAAAGAAAGAAATGAAGCATCATAATTCCTTTAGAATCATGTTATTATGAATATTATCAAATTGTCATAAATAGATATATATCGTATAATTATTTACAAGTTTTAATCATTTGTTAGGTATATTACGTACCAAATTTGTTTGCGATTAATTTTTATCCGTACATTGAATAGTAGGTAGTGAGAACCGAATTAAATGTCATTATAATTATATCATTACACACAAATCTTACTTTATTCATATTCTTAACTCATTTCATGTATGAACACCTGTTCCGATAACTCTTTTTTCTTCATCATATAATACACGATCTAAATAATCATGATGACTCTTGGCTTTCAACCTTTTACGTTCGCATTATACACACAATAAAGTAAATAAAGAAATTATACCTCATGCTTATTCCATTCGACACAGCATAATGTTATATGTAGTTTATTCATTTAAGGGTCGGTTTCATCGTGAACAATGTCTTTTATCCAAAATACTGGTCATGCTTTGATCAAAATCGTTTGGAAGTTCTTTACGCATGGTATGAACAGAATCCACAAAATGCTGTCCACCAGTCTGGCGTCGATAGACCGAGTTGGCTAGGTATGTTTTCAAATTAATATTTAAATTTAATTAACGAGTTGTACTATAGTCATGCGAATGTACAACTCTTTTTTATATTTACATCATTATGTAGATACGCAATCCAAGAACCCAATATGTAGAAAATGTTCATCAAAAACGGTTAAGCAAACATCACTAAGATATTTGTGTTAAAGTAAGCTAAACAGCCATGAAAGACTACGGGAATTTGTTAGCAAAGTATCTATATTTATTACTTAAAGATTAAAATCTTTTGTACGTAGTTATATATCATTATAGCATAAATGTTTGTGTACCAAAGTTTAAAAGTGAAAATGTAAAGTTAATAATCACTATGACACATTGCTAAACTGTTTATAAAAGAAATTCTTGTAAAATTCTCTATTTATTTCAGCTGGAAGTTTCTTCCCCGGCGTTGATATCAACAATAGGTATACTCAAGTCCAACAAAAGGCTACAATCGCTAGACTTGTCGGACAAGAATTAGCCGACAAATATGTAACAAGTCATCAATTTTTATCCCGTGGTCATCTTGCGGCCAAGACTGACTTCATTTATGCAACTGGTCAGCGTTCTTCCTTCTACTTCATCAACGCTGCACCACAGTGGCAGCCATTCAACGCTGGCAATTGGAACTGGCTTGAACAAGTAAGTTTGATAAATAAATATTGCAGAATTATTTACAAACTACCTCAAAATATAAACACATTATGATCACAAAATATTAAGCATACGACGACTACAAATTAATTGCATTATTGAACATAAAAATAAAACAAAAAACAACAATTCATTGCTTAAAATAAATATTCAAAAGCAAAGAAATCTTTAAATATGACTGTTAGTGTTGTCAAGACTGTCCGCATTGCCACACGAAGTCGTGACTGCATTTCGGTGGCCTAAATACTTGTTTCATTAGTAAATATAGTAGTGTAGTAGTACATTATACATATCTGTAGATCAGTGGCGTAGCATGGGGGCTGCGGAAGGGGTTACAGCCCCGAGCAACATAATAAAATGAAAGGGGCGACAAATAACGCGATTTTTTAAAGTAAAAATGAAACTGTATTTATAACTGAACTGAACATGAAAATTATATTTTTTATATTAATGGATAAAAAGTATTGGATATAATTAAGATGATTTATTTCAAATTCACTATTTTTATTAATAAGTATTATAGAGGGGACCCCAATTTCAGGTTTGCCCCAGACAACGAAAGACCACTTATAGCTGTGGTACAGATAATTTTATAATTTATTAGTAACAATATTAAAATACAATAATATAGAAATATTACACTATTTAGCTGTATGCGAAATATACTATTCTATTATTATTATTACTTTTACAGAACCTACGTCAACGTATTGGTCAAGCTGGCTACAATACTATAGTCTACACCGGCACCTTCGGAGTGACCCAACTGCGAGACCAGAACAATCGTCTGGTGGATATTTTCCTGCACACAGATGCTAATAACAACCCCCAAGTTCCAGTCCCGTTATATTTCTACAAGGTAAATAATAGCATCGACAGATGATAGGTTTTGATTAGGTAGGTACACAAAATATGTTATAGTTGTGGTAGAAGGAACGACTACTTAAGTTTATTAGTTTATACGTGCCTCTCCTTCCGATAGTTGCTGATTGTTGGTGTTCAATTTTGAGTATGTTTGGGTGCTTTTAAAATAATTAATAATTAGGTAATCATGTTCTATTTTTACTTTTTTTCAAGAAAGATTTTATTTTTCTTTATGCAAATACTTCAAAAAATTACGTACCTATGTTGAACTCATTTGGCCATAATAATGTCACTTAACAATACCTCTGACTACCCATCCCCCAACCATCTTAGATGACAATTTTAAAGTATAGTTTATTATAATCTTATTATTTTTTTAACAGGTGGCATACGACCCTGCTCGTCGTCTAGGAACAGCCTTTATAAGCATCAACAATCCTTATTATACTGAAGCGGAAGTGCGGGCCCTATCATTCTGCACGGACAGGTGTCGTAACAACAACGCCTTCAATTGGCTGAACTGGCAGCCAGACCGCATTGATCTAGGATACAGTTTCTGCTGTACAGTTGCTGAGTTCAGGAGTGTGATTCCTCACTTACCAAATTTCGATGTTATTGGTCTTCTCACGTAAAACATATACATATACTCGTACATAAATATAATATACATATTTTATGTATATAAATAATACGCTATTATTAATGTAAGAAAATGTGATACAATTTGCTTTTTACCTAATAAATCTCTTTGATAAAAATATACAATTTTTTTAGTATCTACCAACACAGGTTGTATTGTTCTGTACTCGAGAAACAAACCATCCTTAATTCAACAACGGTGGTTTGCTAATACCCGGGTTGAAACTCGTAGTTATTATTTATATTTTCATAGCAGGTAATAATTTACTGGCTTCGCTAAGATACACAGCAGTCATTGTCACTTTAATAAGGGGGGGAAGGGGATTGTTAGTAATGTAGACTGCTGATCTTATTGCTAGCAATGTACCATGTCAGGTTTACCTCCACACGGTTCCCCCTGGAAACCATCGTGATAAATTCATGGTGAATTTGTCACGATGGGCTAACTGACCTGACCTCATGGTCATCTTATCATCCTCCACAGGTGCTCTGCCAACGTAAACCGTTAGCGCAGGCGGGTGTACCATTCCATTATCATCCATAAAAAAAGTCTGTTTAATAGTTTTTTGTCTAGACAGTTCTGGAGCATACCTACATAAAAATACCTACGAAAATCATAAGAATAATCTGTTCCTGCTAATTTTTATAAGACTACTATCAACAACACTCCTTTTGTAAAAGTTTTCTTAAGATAATAGTCAATTCTAATGGGTGAAGCGTAGTTTTATTATCCGGTAAAGATATGATCTTTCGAACATGAACTACTTAGATAAGGAGCAGCATCACGGGACTTACATATACTCATAGAAGTTGTAAACGAGTCCTCCCTGGAGTCCATATTTTAGAAAAATACAGAGACTTATTAATGGATAAACATTATTTGTAGGATGATCCAGAAAATCAGATTATTTAAAACATATGTCTAAGTGTTATGGTGATTTTATATTTAAGTAAACAATTTATTGTTAGTAGGCATATAAGTAGCTTTAGAGATTTATATAATTATATTGTTAATTTATATAATTATATTAAAAAAAGATATTAAAAGTGCTTATATTATTAAACATGTCTTTTATTTGACTTACCAATCATATATTTAATGAATGGTATTGTTACTACTCCACTAATAACAAGACAAAGATACTATACACTAATGCTTTGGTTACACTATTAACAACTTATCTGATCAGTATATACATATTAATAATTTACAACTACAAATATACGACCGCTAATACTATACTTACTATGACTTTACGTTTCCCGCTTTTTTTTTCAAGATTATCTAAACCTACAGATTCATATAAAAATTTTTTGTTCGTAGTTACGATTTCTTATGTCTTTTTTTTTTTTTTATTTATTCTTAATGGAAAGGCAAAGAGTCTAAGCCCATACAGCCGTTCTTATGTCTATATGACCACAAATGTCATTTCGTTGCCTGTTCGTATATAATTCACAATTTAAACAAAATGTCTGCCAACGTAAACCGTTAGCGCAGGCGGGTGCACCATTCCATTATCATCCATAAAAAAGTCTGTTTAATAGTTTTTGTCTAGCTTCTGGACGCATACCTACATAAAAATACCTATTGCTAATTTTTATAAGACTACTATCAACAACACTCCTTTTGTAAAAGTTTTCTTAAGATAATAGTCAATTCTAATGGGTGAAGCGTAGTTTTATTATCCGGTATCATATTAATTTGTTGTAGACAATTAATACAACAATATCTAGTCAACTAGTAAACACTAGAGGGAATAAAGATTAGAGAGCTAAATTCAGCGGGAGAATTATATTTTATCCGAACTTTATATCTTCTTTCGTACGAACTAACTTATTTAATGTTGGCAACCTTGCAAACCCTTAAGCTTAGTCACTACCTGCTCAATCACAGAACTCGCAAGTATAATTTATCTGTGAATGTCAAATAAAATCCTAGGACAGACTTGACGTTTTTATTCTTAAAATTGTAGTATCAATATGAAACTTTGATTTGAAAATTCATTGAAAAAATTCGCATTTCCTTTAAATTTTTTATTAATATATTATCAAGTATTATAGTAATAATTATTTATAGTTCAAACTAAAACTTACTTATTTCAAAGTGTATTAACAATGGCAGGAGAACTAAAAACTGTAAACGAAGAGGATTTCAAGCTATTGAAAGATAGAATGAATTTAATAGCTAGTGCGGATCCAGCTCAATATCACAATGAGTTTTCATTACGAAGATATTTGCGAGCCTTCAAAACTGTTGACCAGGCATTTCAGGTGGTGTAGACAATTTGCGTAAATTTGGTGTGAATGTCTGTATTGATTTTGTAGCTACATGTTTTGTTTGTACATATTGTCTTATCAATTTTACCTACAGTTGTATGATATTTTACAATTCGTAACTTACATATTATGTTAATTACCATTCGCAACTTTATAAAAAAAAATATTTACTTAAAGAAGGTAACTTATAGTAACTAAGTCAACATCAGCTAATACATATTAGCTAAATATGCACTAGCAATATATTATCCTAATACAAAATTAATGTTAAGTTTGTTAAATAAGTAATAAGTGCTACTATCAATATTTTTTTCTAATGTGACTGGTAACTAGAGTGCAGAAGTAAATAATTTGTTAGTTGTTTGCACTAATTTCATAGTTTTAATGTCAAAAATATATCTAAACTCAGTTATTGAATTCATTTATGATACTGACTATACTTATTAAATTGACTAAACAAGCTAAATACATGATTTTTCAACTTCAGATCCTCTATCTAAAGAGATCAGATAAGCTATCTCCTATCAGATATATAACCATACAGTGACATGATATTAGTTATTTTCTACGATATGATTGCAAAATATATTTGATATCTCTATATTGGCAAATTTAGAAAAATTGTGGGTGCTTGAATGCATGAATGCTTTTAGAGCTCCATAACACAATTACTTAAGATTCTTTCATTCTACACCCTTCAACAATATCTTATTGCCTCTACTTTTGACTGACTAATTCTTATATGACTGTGACTAATAGTTACACTACTGATTATTATTATTAGTCCTAACTTTAACAAATTAATTTATTGTGAATACTATTTCTAACAAATTATACCATCGAACAAATTTGGGGGGGAAAAATTAATGGAATTAGTGTTTGGAACAAAATTAAATACATCTGCCACATATCTCTTATTTATTTACTATAAATCTGAAAGTTCTTCTTACAGGACTTCCTGAATATAATGTAAACATGTTTCAGGCAATCATAAAAACAAATAAGTGGCGCTTAGAATATGGAGTTGCAGAGTTACAGAATGACAAAGAACTTATAGAAAAGTACTCAGACAAGGCTAGAGTGCTGAGACATCGGGATATTATAGGACGACCTATTATCTACATCCCAGCAAAAAATCATAGTTCCAGTGATAGGAATATTGATGAATTAACAAAGTTCATTGTTTACTGCCTGGTATGAATTTTACTTTACTTAACTTTATCATTATTATCATCTTAGGAGGGTTCTGAGTAAGGTTTGTGAGAGCAAAAAATGGCATATTATTATTGATTTTTATTGAAGAACTAGTCAAAATAAATCAGATTTTATAATAAATGCATATATGCCTATTAATATGTCATTCCTGGTGAATTTCCTATTATGGGGATATGGTTTGTTGATAATTTTTGTTTATTTTGTTTCTAGGAGGATGCAAGCAAAAGATGCTTTGAAGAGGTTGTTGACAACTTGTGTATTGTATTCGATTTGAGCCAATTTACATTATCTTGTATGGACTATCAAGTACTAAAAAACCTGATATGGTTACTCAGTAGACATTACCCTGAGAGACTTGGTATTTGTTTGATTATCAATGCTCCTGCATTCTTCTCAGGCTGTTGGACTGTTATCAAGGCATGGTAAGTCATACATTCTTGTGTAACAGGAATAGTGAACTGGGTGATGGCAGCCATCACTTTAGACAAAAACTGTATCATAGACATCACATTATAATGTGATGCCCATAACACATGTGTTGCCATTCTGAAGGTCTGGGATGTCATGACTCCATATCCTGTAATTTCACTGTCTTATCTCTCACCCTTCAATAAAAACACATCTTTATAGCAAACTGATTAGTGGCTGAAACAGATTAGACAGAGATACAAACAAATTTTTACAAAATCCTTGGTACAAGTAAAGGTGAAAACATTCTTCTATAAATTGTTATTTTATAGTAGTTATGTATCTATTTCCTACATTTTTAATATATATATCACTATTATATGGATATTATGAAATAATGTTTTCTTATAACTGTTGCAATTTATTTACAGGCTTGATGAAAACACTGCAGGTAAAGTGACATTTGTCAACTCTGAGATGGATCTTTGCCAATATCTAATACCTGATATCCTGCCCACTGACATGTAAACCTCTCTACATATTTTTTTATTAAGTATATAGTAATAACTGAGTGATTGCATTTACACCAAAAACTATTTTGTATTATATGTTTATAATATAATAATTAATTATGTATAAAACACGATTTAAGTATATGACACATTAAAACAAGCTTTTACCCTAAAATCAATAAAATTTTAAGTTTGTCACATTATGCATAAAAACATGTTGAACACAGGATGAAACGCTACACCTCGAATACAAATTGAAATTTTTCCAAAATTTTTTTAAACCATTTTACACAATGTAATTTATGCAAGATATATATATTTTATCTAAACATAAGATCTAGAACTGTATATTTCTATTATTTGTAAATACCAATTACAAAAGCATTAAGTCTCTCTTGCCATAACATGTACTTTTTTTAAATGCCATTGAGATTTGTCATTTATGTTTTAGTTTCTATTAAAAGTCAATTACATAAGTCTTTAGATTGTATTTATTCTAATTTTTATTTTAACTTATTGTTAACTGTGCCACTTACTTTATAACTAAATGTTATTTTAAGTATATTAACAATATTGAAATTTAATTCCGTTTTTATATTAATTCAACAATATAAAACTTAAGTTACAGTTGCATGCACTAATATATTACATTTCCACATCTTGTCATAGTTTACTACTGAACATTAAGGTAGAAAACTGTTTATATTGTTATTGGCAGGCTTCTGTACTATTCACTGAAATATTATTCATGATTGCATTCTACCAGAGATCCTGAAACTTCATATAAAAATATTGAACAAAATTCCATAGATTACAAATGTTAAATATATTTTATTGAAACAACAGATCTAAGTAAAAGAATATAGTGTAAATACATAGCAAATAAGTTTATCGAATATTATTGTTTGTGGATAAAATCAGTTTGTTTATTGTTGATTATTGCTATTAGATAATTTTCCATGTTAATATTTGTTCGTTTAAAATGTTGTATACCCTATTCACAATGTAGTGGTTTCATGTAAATACCATAGTATAGACCATAAACTATATGGTCTATACTATAATTTTTATCCCTTACATATTACAGGTAAAATCTCTTGTATGCTGTAAATTTAAAAGAAACTATATATACCCATTACCTATCAACGTTGTTATTAACAACCACTGACCTTTTTTGTCTTTCTTTGTGCGACAGTGAAACTACTACATTAGGTTTTTATCGTGGGTAGAGTGTACTCTATCAAATAATGATTATATTTCATTATTTGAAGTACTCTATATTGTATTTAGCTATTATATACTTTTATATTGTCCTTTCCTCGTACCAGAAATAACATTTTAACCAAAGGTTTAGAAACTTAAAAATATGTAAGTAGGTATCTATGATTGACCAATTGTCACGAGGAATAAATCGGCATCAATTTTATATTTATATAATCTATTACTTTTAGATAATAATTATATTTCAAAATCCTGAGAATGACAGGGTACGTTTCCTATTCAAGTTTTCTAAGTGTTTAATGCGTATTCTAAATTCTAATTATAGAATTCAGATTTTATGTTGCATAGTAGGATGCCAAGGTATATTCTCTGTTTGTCTTGCATGCACGTTATATATAATATACGGCCCCACAGATAATAACTGAAATGGATATGTCATCATGATTGTCATTTGGTATTACACTAGTGATTGTAATACCACATTAGTTTCTGTAACTGTGGAAAGAAACATTTTCATACTTTTAATGCAGCCTATCTAACTAAAGACTTCAAGAGCCTTTTAGTTTATTCATATATATGTCTAGATATAGTAATAAATGTTAAAAAATTTAAACGCCTAAAGCTTAATAACATGACAACGCAACCTTACACACACGCCACGAGGGTGTGTCACGTATTATATCATGTTTATCTGAAAAGCGCAATACAAAAATTACTTTAGTGCAACGTGAATGGAGTCCTACTATTACCAAATAGAAGAGTAAACGCCACTACACATCCTATGTAGTTGGAGCCCACACGTACATAAACGAAGTAACTTTTTTCGAAAATAAACACTATATCCTGAGGAGATAAAAACCATCGTTCCTAAGAATATTCTTCAACTCTCGTCCCTTGTTCCTAATGGGGCTAGGCTGCGAATTCTAAAAAAGGGCGAGCACAATAAGCCTTTGCAGGTGGCAGCGCTACTTACAGGACTCTTTAGCGTCAAATAGTATTCCAAACCCTTGACTGTTAGTGGAGTCTAAAATTTACTGTCTCTATGTTACACTTTTTAACATTTTATCATGATTACATGTTATGAATGGTAATAATATATATATTTATATTATTTTTTCACTTAAGTATGTTCTTAGCTAAAAATATTTATACATTTCATTAAAAATATTGCAAGGGAGGTGATAAATAAGGCACATTTTTATTAGTAGTATATATAATAGTGTTTGATACTACGATACCTACATTGTAAATATTATTAAAAATATTGTACTTGTTATGAAATAAGTGCAGGCTATTGTGTATGTGAACCATTCCATTATTTGATTTAGCATTTATAATAAAATTATACAAAGTATATAGTTAATATTGTAATATAACAAGATACTATCTAATATAGATGATTTTAAGAGGCAATGCATTTTTTATTTATTTAATCCAATCCAGTGTGTACAAGCAACTAAAAATGTCTAAAATGTAACATTGTCTATGTTACAGTTGTGGATTAATGTTACAGATGTAGGCACACGCACAGGAACTATCTGTGCGTGTGCCTACACCTCTATAAAACTAATTCCAATTTAAAATATAGAGGCTGCTATAAATTTATCCAGTAATGGATAATTGGGGGCTATGTGTCAACACTAAGAGCATGATATAAACACATCATACCTACATTATGTCCTTAAACAGGCAGTCAAGATTAAATGAAACCATACTATTTATAATAATCATTTTACTTGCTTAATAGTAGTTTACAAAACACGTTATACAAATGAATATTGACTGTACAATTATGAAGCAAATTACACTATTTGCACATGGTATCTATGATAATGTTCATAGTTAACATTCCTACTAAATTCTTACTGTACTGTTCAAAGTCTTGAAATCATTTTTACATTTTAAAAATTCGGATTGAAAAAAATGCCATGTTTCATAATTTCAAATTAGTCTTTTTTATCTATCACTATAAGTAATATACTTAAAAAACTATTACTAAGTCCTAATAAAAATTATCACAACAAAAACACATTTACAACATATTCGAAAATTAAAATACTATTGTTTATACTACTCATAATTTTATGAGTTGTAAGTGTCAAAAAAAGGATCTCTAAAGGTATATCCTTTACTCAAAATTTAATAATATTCAGTCATAAATTCCTTAAACAATGTCCTAAATGTATACAGGATGTGTGGAATAATTGGCACATTTCTAAAAGTGTCACTGCCGTATCAACTAAGGCCCCTTTCACGGCGAAGTAAATCGCGACCCAACACTATCATACAATCCACTATACTATATCTATCATAATATAAAATACCACCTGACATCTCCTTATTGGGACGAAATTTACTCAACCAAAGTGAAATAAGCTCCATACTATATCACTCGTGACATTATAGATTCCTACAAACGCAAATAACATAACAGTATCGTACTAATCAAAAATTACCGAACTACTTGTGTAATCAAAATACTTGACAACCATTCGCTAATCATGACTAGTATAAAAGGAATGTACTACGAATACTGTATTGTTTTAAAAAATATTATTATGTGTACATAGGAGAATAGGATTAATAATTATATAAATTTGTAGCAGTGACAGAATTAACTCACAATTTTTTTTTTTTTCAGGAAAAGACAGCTTAATAATTAATTTACAAACTTTGATAATACCTAAGATATTAAATACCTACAGCAGTACTGTATATATAACTTTGATAATGATATGAGGATGAGAAATCATTAATATCACCGTAAAATCTGCAGACTGACTTTTGAGACTGAATCGAAATCAAATTGACAAGATTCATAAGGTATTTAAAATCCATCGAGCCGATATCGAATATAAATTGAAATCAATAAATTTCAGAATATAACGCTGTGAAATACGGACGGACAAAGTTGCAACATAAAGGTTCCCAGTTTAGCTTTTTGTGTCGGAACCATAAAATACAGAAATATATGTAAACGAAAAGATAAATATTATAATATGATTTCGATTTAAGCCCAATTTTTTGTCAAAAGTCAGTCTGTTGGTTGCCTACCATTACTTACTAAACTACATTGAAATTCTTCCACGAATACGCGGTGCGGACTAGACAATAGTTTGAGTCATTGATGCAACTCGAGATCCGCTTAATGTTTTTACATTTCTGTACTACATTTTTATTTTTAGACCTATAATATTGGTATCCTATATTAATATAGATTCTTAAGTTGACCAATTCCAATTAGGCTCAATATTTATTTACCGTTATCACATTGAATTTGTTTCTTGCGAAAGACCAATACATTGTCAACAGAAAGTCTGGCACTGGCGTATGAGCTTAATATATTGGCGGCAAGCGTTTCTAATTTAAATACCTCTTTACTTCTGGCACATTGAAATCCAAATCTACAAACGAAACTAATTCCTAAATCATTTTATGGGTAGTAAAATATTAATTCAATTCCATAATATATGTAGTCACATAACACTTAATTTAACCAGATATAAAATATAACATGTTTCTATTTCTGATTAAAATAAGTTTATTGTCAAATTCGATGTGAGTTATATTAATAATTTATTAAATAGGAATTCTGTTTAGTTGAAACTTATGAGTTCACTAATGGTAAGCTGTACCATGTGTCACTATGTATATATAAACGAATTATTTACAATTAGATACTCTATTTTTAGAGTGTTGTAATGAAGTGTATAAGTTTTTACATAATCAAATATCATAAAATAATACTCGTTAATTTTATTGTGTGCGTCCAAGTCTGTAAAAGACAGCGATAGTCTCAACCAACAATAATTTATTGAAGTAATTCTAACTTAACTTCTAATTCAAACACGTCATCCCAGACATCATAACTACCCATCTCTCTACGCTTCTCTTTTGAAAACAATTTCATAGACTTAGAACTTTGTTCTACATAGACCAATGTAAACATGTAACACATAATAAAGATTGCCAAATACGAAACATCTGATAATATTTCAAAATTGAAACATTCAGTTAAATCTTTTTACAGTTTACACTTGAAATATACATTAACTTTACAATCATTTATACCTGAGAGAATTTATCATTATGGGTTGTTGTCTGCAGATACGTAATCATAATTTATGCCTGTGGCTACCTTTAGCCAGTGAGGTTACGAGACGGACGGCACTTTATTACTAGATAAACCAAATCACTGTTGCCACTTTCTGACTATCCTAATCAGAATTTGAACCAGTATCTAAATATTTTTACATTTGATTCAGATTGCAGCAGATAATCCAGATCCCACCTTTTTGTTTTGAATGGGAGAGCACTATCTCATTGATTCATCCATTATAAACTTTTCACCTTTTTTAACCAATCACTAACTAAGCAATGAAAATAATACTCAAGGGTAATACTTTCAATTACAGTTTACATGCAACCACCTTACTCCACATTCCTATACGAGATCGCTACCCGAGATTCTTGGCTCTCTGTACAAATAAATGTACCCATATCATTTAGTCAATTGTTAGTAATGAAATCTGCATTACTAACCATGTGTCCCGTCAGGTTGACTTCTACGTTTCGTAGAAACAATCTAAGTTAATTCCTTGCGAATCCGTCACAACGAACTAAGTAACCTGACTTAATTTTATCCTCATCTTACACTGGTGCTTCGCCAACGTATAGTATAACATCAGGCGGGATCAGCACCATCGCTCACAGTAAAAAATGTATAAGTACAACCACATTCAGAATTTGTGTAACGAATCTTTCGTCTGAAGTGGCAACACTAACGTATACTGCGAGCCCGACAGCCTTACGTACGTGGCGGCTGCACTCAGACCGGCGAGGCGGCGTGTAGTCGACGCGCGCGCGGTAGCGTGGCGGTGGGGCTGCGTGCTGCGGGCTGGTGAGGATGCGGAGTAGGCAGCGGCGGGGCGGGCCGCAGCAGCTGCAGCAGTAGGCGCAGTCAATCGGCTAGCACGCTCTGCGCGATGGTCATCAGCTTGTCTTTCAGCACTCGGAATGATGGCCGGTCGTCCGGCATGTGTCGCCAGCACATGCGCATTATCTGACGGACGGTAACAATGATTATTATAGAGGTGGACAAATCTGTTATTAAATTTAGCTCAAAACTCGTATGATTTAAAAGGATGATGAAACCAATTAGGAAAAATTAGAAAGTTTTTTTACTATTTTTACTTATTTATATCGTATTGTATATGTAGCTTAGTAACTAGCAAAGTTAACGAAAATCAAAATTAAAGAAATAACTAACTTGAGTTTATTAACTTCAATTACTTATTCAATTATCTCATCACAACACCCAAGTTATAATATGATTTGTTACATATATATATGTAAGAAATCATAGTACTGTAACTTACATTGTATATTTCATTCAAACAGCCTTTAGGTTTCTCAAGAACTTGTCCTTTCTGTACCATATCCACAACTTCAGCGTTCTTCATTCGACCGTATGGAACCTGGCCGCAGGTAAATACCTCCCACATAAGGACTCCTAGAAAGATATTAGTATAATTAATTCACTATTTTTTTTACATTATCATCAGGCTGGCGAAATAAACTACACACTTAAGGGGGAGGTAACTATAAGTATTGTGGAGGCGAGCCCTATTGCTTGTAATGTCAGGTCGAAATCCATGCGGTCCCACTTGGAAAGCATCACTAGAACCAACCAACCAACTCTAACAGACTTCATCCTTCTACCGTTACTGCAGGCTACATAAAAAACCTATCTAACTAATTATACGTGGTAATTGCAAACTATCAATGAGTATAACATATAGGTGGTCATATGCATGCATGTAGCAAGTGGTGACCACCCGTCAGATGCATGTAGCAAGCGGTGAATATATATCAACTAATGAAATAAATAAACATCATTTCAGCAATCCACAGGATGCCAACACAGACAGCAAGTTGTAATATTTTTATTTGTTTAACTAGATATAATAAATAATGTACTTACCAAAAGCCCAAACATCAGATTTCGATGAGAACCTAGTATAATTGAGAACCTCTGGCGGCGCCCATTTGATAGGGAATTTTGTTCCGCCAGAACTCGTATATTGATCGTCTAAGACATATCGCGCCAGACCGAAATCTGCTACCTGTAAACAAAAACGTATAATTTTCAATAAAAAAATTAAATACTTCGTCAACACAATTACAGTTCAACATAGCATATATTTTTTAATTAAATGGATATTGTGGAGATTTGCGTTAAATATCTATAATATATATAATGTAAGTGAAAAAATTACAATGGATTTCTCAATTTCTTACTCACCTTTACTACATTTTCATCTCCAACCAAGCAATTTCTTGCAGCTAAATCACGATGTATATAGTTATGTCGTTCTAAATACGCCATTCCTTTGCAAACCTGGAAATACGTATACAATCATTATTGACTTTTCATGTATTTATAGTATAATAATTTGTTTTCGTATTCCTCTACTCCTCATGAAAAAATAGCACCTATCATTGAGCAATTTTCAGAATGTTGACTGACACAGAAAATGACTGAATCAGTTAGCCAACAGACAAAAAAGAAACTTCGAAAACAACTAAATAACGATATAATTTTTTAACTAAATAAGGAGTCATAAAGCAGATCATATTTGAATTATATATCATAACCTAATAACATCTCTGTCATAAAGCCCTAAGATTCTAAGATTGATTAATAAATTGTAAGAAGGGAACACATATTAGAAGGGATCAGTCCTTACGTTTATTTCTTACATAACATACCATGTATAACATAAATTTTCTAAACCAACTATTAAGTGGTCGTTTTCTTTACCATAATAATAATGAGGCATAGAACTAACACAAAAATCAAAGACTGTGAATCAACTCTTTAAGAAAGTACAAGTTTTACCGCCTGTGTATATCAGGGTTCTTTGTATATCTAGTATATAGATTAGAACGCAATTGCATCGTGTTTTGTACTATATAAACTCTGATGCAAGTACATACACACATAAAATAATATTTTAATGACAATTTTATTACTAACATTGAATGTAATAAAAAAATATTACTTGTATGCACATGTCGAGTAACACGGCGGGTCCCAGCTGGTCGGGGGACGTCCGACGAAGATAGTTGAACAATGAACCGTGCCTCATGTACTCAGTCACAATATAAATAGGTCGGTGTTTGGAGCACACGCCGTATAGCTGAACTAGATTTTGGTGTTGCAATTTTCTAGAAGAAAAAAAACACAAAATGTTGTAGATCTATTTTATTACTTTTAAATTTATGAATTTTCTAAAGAAGAAAGCAATAATACGAGTCTAACTGACCAATGCAAATTTATTTAGCTCAACAAAAATCTGCAATTGGCAAGTTAAAGAGAAAACATATTGTATATGAAAAAATATCTACTTTGGAAAGTATATAGTGTATACTTGAAAATATAAAAGAATTATCACTCTTATGAATATCCTTCAATTCTTGTCCTCAACGGAAGCTAATTTTGAGCAAAATAGATGTACCTAGGTAGTTAATATAAATAAATAAACCCAAATCCTTTAATAAAATTATAAAACTGACAAAAGTTAGATACTCACGTCATAACCTTGGCTTCATCAATGAAGTCATCCTCGGACATGGTGCCCTCCTTCATCATCTTGACGGCGGTGTCGATGCGGCCGCACCACTTGCCACGCCGCACTACTCCGAACTGACCCGCGCCTAACTCCTCTAGCAATACCAACTCAGATGGATCTATCTCCCATTTGTCTGTAAACAGCAGAATTTTACATGAATACTCTATTTTATTTAAAGCTAGCGCCAATACCGCTACCTATCTACGCTATCTACCGCTAGCGCAAATCATTAGCTTAGACGGATGCACCATATATCATCTACTAAAAAAATCACAACACCAGTGCACGATATATCATCTATTAAAAAACACTAACCATGCGAGGGAATAGTGGGCGGCACGAGCCGGTCGCAGGGGCTCGTCTTGAGTCGCGAGCACAGCCCGCCGCTGTTATGCTTGTGATAATTGATCAGCTCTGGTATGCTTGGACAGCAATGCTTGTCCGATAAGTAGAACTCGCCGCGTGCATTCTGCTTTATGTGGTAGTGTTTTGTTTGTGGATGATTACTGCAACGAAATAGTAAATTAATAATTATAAAAAGATTTTTTTAAGAGGCTGTGCAAGTCCCTCAATTTCGTCTGCTTTATTTAAGGAAAAAAAAGTGAATGACCACATTCGTGACATAACCTATATTTACGTCAGATTCAATTAAGATGTGTTCAGCCATTTAGTGGTGGAAACGTTGATAGCATAATATTATTACTATTAATAATCAATTATAATATTAGTATGGATTATCGCAGAAAATAATAATTGAAGTCCTCGAAAACGCAACACAAGAGTAGTATTTATGTAAGAAGAATGATAATTAAACTAATTACATTTAAAAAAGTTTTGTGATATTGATATGTCACATAATAACTTTTTTTTTATACATACAGGTAAACAGATTAACGAATAATTATTAATAAATATAGTGCACAATTCTACTTACAATTTGGTATACAACGAGAGTGTGTACATGCCCTTAGTGGAAGAGTTGCGTACAACGAAACAGCCTTCTTTATCCTCCTGTTTAAGCAATGTTTCGGCATGCTGTCGAGACATTTCGCCAACGTACCATCTGTAATTAGGATTATTTTTATTACACACAGAAGAATTAAACATGCTTTTGCTTCTAGAGAGGTACATTAGAGTATATATATACTATAATTGCATACGGCCGGCCGAATTGTTAGTTGTCTGCTAAAATTTTATATATAGTTTCCTCTATTTGTACGGAAACTTGACTTGAATTGATTTTGAATCTTAGTCTATTAGTTTGCCATAGCTTTGGTTAATGTAAGCGTATGCTGTTTGCAATTCCATATCATATAACAAATGCGCCTATTCATCTCCATGTACATGTATTAATCGTTACTATATAATGAAATACACTCACTCATATTTCTGTAATCCAATCGTTTCCTTTTCCTTAACATAATTACTAGGTATATATCCAATGGACCTAAAAACAAGAACCAAAATTAATGTTAACGAAAATTTCTTTAAAACAGTCCCGTATATAATTTATACAATACAAACCCATTTTCATCTTTAACTTTCCACCAATGCTCCTGTGAATCGTCAATAACTTCGTATTCAGCGCCCTGGGGACAATAAACCAATTTGTTGCTTTATTCGACGAAACGTAATTTAATTTTAATGAATGCTTTTGTAAGAAAGCTTTCAGGGAAATAAATTGGCAACATGAAGAAGTTACACCAGTATTATAGAATAAACGTGCCAAAATTTTTATAGCAGGGAAATTAGTTAAGTATTCAGGATTTATTCGTTAGAAACGGTGCTAAGGCAACGTACCTAATTAGGGAAGTTATTGGATTAAAAATAATCTACGACCTACTGACCTTTTCGTTTCAATTACTGTTAAGTTAAAAAATTGTATACATATACTATACTAGCTACTCGCCACGGTTTCGCACAGGTGTACATGTATTGCATATATATACCTTCCTCTCGAATCACTCTATCTATTACAAAAACCCGGTTCAGATTTTGTTGCATAGTTTTAAAAATTTAAGCATACATAGGGACAAACAGCGACTTTGTTTTATACTATGTAATAATGATGATAAATAAATTATTTCATATGTTACAATAAAAACAACTGAAGGATTCGTTTTATGAAACGGTGTCCAGTCAAATTGTATTGTTTCAAAACAAACATTACAAATTAGAAATAGTATATTGTCGTATTATGTTAGAAAATTAATATTACGATTAATTTTGACATAACGATTATGATTTTTTGCCAAAATAACGTTTGACAATATTGAATATACTAATAATTACCATACGTTTATAAAATACGAATACTCATTATGTACGAGGATAATGTTAATTAGAAAAGTACGCTTACCACTGAAATTATGGATTGGAAACCCTAAGGCATTTACTCATAGTTCCCGAAATGGAAAGCCTGTCGTTCTACATATCCACATACTAATTACATAACAATAGCTTATATGGAATGTCAACTTTTTAGCTAATAATAATAAAAATGTATAGCATCCCTACTAATAAAAGGCATACTTCAGCGCTGGCTGCTCATAATATCAATATACGGGAAAGGATTGTTATTAATAAGGATGGGGTACTAGGCCCCATCGATACCAATGTACCATCAGATCAACATCGTCTCTCAGAAAAGTATCGTGTTTAATCCTTTGCGATTTCGCCATGTTGGGCTAATTGACCTGACTTCATATTTCATCCTAACATACTCCACTGGTGTCCGGCCAGCGTATACCGTTAGTGCAGAAAGGGGTACCATTTCATCATTCATTAAAAAAATATCACGTGGCATTACTCATCATTAATCCGTTATATGTATATATGTTCATGTACATCCATCTATAATACAAATAAACGATTTATTTACTCACTTATAAACTCATACCGTATAATTTTATTTAGACCACCACTTAAAGCTCGGATAACAAATCTTTAGCCGAATTTCGTAACACTTAATATATGTAATATTTGCATTTTAATTATGCGAAGTTTATATGCAAGAGTGACTGTTCAATTTGCGTGTTATTTAAATGTCAATTTTAATGTTACGACATACTGACAGATATGCGCGTAAATTTTACCTCATTTAGAATGTAATTTATTTATATCACTTACCTTTTCTAATGAAAGATCGCCACTTTCAATCGCCTTGAATGGATACAGTGCTACGACAATTTTATTTCTTGGTTTATCCTGAAAATATAAATATATTATACTATTATTTCTTTATCGTAGAGATATTATGAACTTTAAGATTACGAGTATGAATTTTCGCTGTCGTAGTTGTTCGTCAAACTCTTAAGCAAAAACTACTGAAAAATTTTTAACGAAATTCGGTACATCTATATCGTTATCTATACTTTTTACCAGGCTTCACGTGGGCAGCACAGTAGAACATTTACAATATTGTTTCCCAAACTGAGATTGACTGAGATTCATTACGAGACGAAGAAGTGATATCTCTACCTCTTCATTTGACAACATTGTTTGTCGAAAGCTATAGGAGAATTGTCTGACAGTTTGAAAATAAGACTCTATTCAACCTGAATACTCGTATAGCTATTACATATAATGAATCTCGCAAATTGTATTCTACTCAATACAGCCGAGTCTTGTAAACAGACATAATTTCGATAGTCACATAACAGGGGATAACAGAAAACAATATAAAGTTTCTAATGTCCAATTTAAAGTAAAATATCCATGTTATCCTCACATAGATATTTTATTTATAGTATCGGGAACGGAAAGGCCCTTGGTAAGCAAAATGGTAACCGTAGCCTATAGATGGAAGTAAGGACAATACCATGACTATTACAATACACTATCACGCCCACGGATGCCCCTAATACGTTTCTACGTCTGAGGTCTGCGGTAAGCATATAAAAGTAATGTAGAAGTTCCAAGAATTTAGTAAAAGTAACCTAAACATGTGGGTTGTGACTTTTGGCTTATTTAGGCAGGTAGCTATCAGATTTTAATTACTCTATCTTCACTTGATTGAGATTTAGAACATCGGCTATTTTTTAAACAGGAGCAAGCGACTGGAGTCAGAAAAGTGAAAGTTTCTAAAAATGAATAAACGGATTTGAATTAAATTTGGTACTTATATTTACATAATTAACGTAGGTATAGGCAGTTATTTGAATAGTTTTTTTTATTGATTTATTTTAAATAATAGAATTACATATTTAATTATTTTAAAGTAAATAAGTAATTCTAATTATTTCGGAAAACTTTAAAGTTCTTTCGGGTATTTACTGCATCTCTATTATTTCCGCATTGGAATAATAAATAAAATTAATTAATAATTTTATTTATTATTTCATATTATTATTATAAACATAAATATATTTTTAAAACGTTACACGTTAAGTGAGAAGGACTTTGTTTTCAGCTATTTCTGCTGTAATGCAGCTAGCCTTGTAAGCGGTGATCTTTTTGACGAATGAGATATAGCAGTCAAATCGCAGGGTACGAAGGCATAACAACTTAGTCCTCAAAAATAAAAACGCATGAGTCGCTAAAACAATTTGGAAGTTATTCCGATATTGCCAGATTCCGTCAACTTGATTGCTATTCCAGTTATCCATATAAAAACACAATACGTGTAGAGTATACCTTTGGTTTAGTCGATGGTGTACCGGGAGGGGCACCCCCTCCCCCGGGCATCGTGACTGCCGCTGTGACCGCTGCACATACAAATAAAAAATTACAATGTCTTAAATATTCACCGTGCATGGAGTTGTTTTGCATAATAATGTGACATAGACTAAATGCAGGAAGAAACAAGAGGACAACGCATGTTGAAACTAAATAACCTTCATGCGTTTTACTGCAAAATGAATACATTAAAAATCATACGCTACATAGCAGACAGTGTTAAATACGAATATATTATAAATATGCTTTTACGATGTTACAGTTTTCAATGTTTGTAGTTATGAAGTAAAAACACGGTGCAATATTAGTAAGATTAGAATGTGTCTGTAAAAACAACGTATAAATGATTATTAATAAATTTATTGTTACTATAGAGTACTTATACTAATAAATTATTATTATTTTAACTAATTATCAATAATGGGCATACTAAATCTGAAAAATAAGCTGCCATTCAGTATAATATAAATACAACGCCATTCAAAAACATTTAACATTAGGAGATTTTGTCAACAAAAGGTGCCAAGCACTTATCACCTCTCTGTATTTAAAGATGTAAATAGACATAAAATCTTATTTATTTTATTACTCTACACTGTATATAGTACACAGAACATGATTATAACAAGTTGTGTTCCGTTATAGCCATCCATTTATTTAATTAACCATTACAGATGTTAGGTGAGGTGATTTTGGTAAGAGTCATTATAATAATTGACATGTACCTATACTGAGAAATTATTTCGTCATTTATTATTAATTACGTTTCATATCATAAAATTTGGATACAATCATATGCAACAATTATAAGCAATATTATTATTAAGCATTAACAACTTGTTAGATATGTATTAATAACTTGTTAGATATGTACAAATAAACAGTATAGACACAAAATGTCATATAGGAAGACCTACTTTGTAAGACTGGACGTATCATTAGAACGATATATTTTGAATTCATGTCGTAATTAATTTAATAGAGCACCTTCCGATTATAAATAGATATTATACTTAGACAAATTTTTAAGATTTTAGACGTAAACATAGAAAAAGTAATGTTAACGTTGCAAACAGACACAAACTTAACCACACTTACACGATTAGTAAAAACAATTTTTTTGTTGTCTATGAACACATTTAGTGACGCAAATGCGCCTGACACAAACAAAACACTATGCTTTGGCCATAAACACTTTTATTGGAATCACTGTACGATATCACTTTTGATAACATTACACAAGCCCATAAAATGACACCTGACCAAGACAAGAAAGTGAGTGCAACAAGACGAGTGAACGCAACCGGTAGCAGCGAGGCCACGAATAGAGGTCAACCCAATGATCGTACCCTCTAGCGCCGGGAGGAACGACGACAACGACAAGCATGGTATTTTGGATTTCTTCTTGGTAACCATTGGCTCGTCTTCTGACTTGCTCTGCAACATGGGAACGGGGTATAGGGCCGGACGTCCGCGCGCGACACCGTTCGAGCGCTCCCACTGCCGACTAACGTGTCAATGTACCGTGTTGCTAGTAAAGCTGAGAGCACACTACTCTTTTTCATCCTACTAAAGCATTTCCAAATACACCTATCGAAAGGTTTGTTTCTATACAGTTTTTATAGACCGTAAATAACAGTACATTCATTTTTTACTACGTTTCAGAGATATATCATATACCTAAATACTATTTATAAAATAATCGAAAAAAATATTTTTACTAAAAATATAATTCACGATATATTGAAGAAATATAGCATTTAAAAAAATTGTAAGTAGAAATTTATTGTAAAAGGTATCTAAATACAATTTTCAATGTAAATATTTTTGGTACGAAATTAAAGTGTAATGGTACCTATCTACATGTCAGCTTGTGATTATGTCGTGGAACCATTAGAAGAAAATTGTATAAAACGCGAATGAAACCGATTTATAGCAAGATATTCGCAATAAATAAACAATAATGAATCAATAGTTTCAAGCACCATAGAAAACAAGGCTTTATGTTTGTCGAGACGAAGTATTGAGGGCTTCAAAGATGGTCGTACGCGGCCTACATTCACCATTCGCTGTCCGTGCGCAGGCGGCTCTCGGTCTCCCTTTCACTTATTCATAATTACCATGGTAAGAAAGAAACAAAAGGTTTATGTCATCAACGAAACTTCAATTGTATACTATAGCGTATAGCCGCCTTCCTCAGAAGCCTATCACTATTGCACCAACTTGATTAGTAAAAGTAAATAAAGCCAAAGGAAATCCTATTTACTTTATTGACATTTCAAGAAGGCATCTAAGAAATTGTTTATACGTATGTTGGTAATAATATGGAATAGTTCGTTTAAATATCACTATTTGCCATTTCATTATACAAGGTTGCGGATTATCAGCTACGGATAAAGTATACATAAGTCTGTATTACTCTTCTAAAAAAGTGGTCAGGAGTTCGACTTTTTTATTTTATTAAAAAAAAATATTTAGAATTAAAAATAATAATATGTCGTCATTACTGTTATAGTCTAGAGGCTTCGTCAACTGCCGATGTTATTTCACTGTGTATATTGAATTAAACGTGGCAAGAGGCTGCTGTCTCTCAAATTAGTTTTTGTTTCACGGGTTTCTTTTATTATTTTTTATAAATTCATCCTATTAATTGGAAACTTATAAATTTACTACATATGTACATAGTAGTACATACTGAAACTATAAGAATTACCATACTAAATAGTTATCTGTATTCATGTAGGATTTGACAGGATATAATTAGACTTTATGTCATTCCGTAATGGCAATTTCTCCATATCCTTTCTCCGAATTCAAGATATGAATTCACTATATACGTGTTTTGTTTTTTTCACCATTTGTTGCTCTTTAATACACCTCTCTTTCCGTTTAACCCACCGTTCAAATTTATGCATTTATTATTCCATTCAATTCCACATTAGATATAACTATAATTTTCCTTTTATGCATGGAATATTGTAGCATAGTAACAGCATAAACGATCATACTTCGACTTCGTACCATATACTATAAACTATGAAGTAAATGTAGAGTTAGCACTCTACATTTACCGAGTGATTCCATAAGAAGCATATTCATTATATACTTTCTAAAATAACAAAAATAAAAGGACATGTATTGTATATTCGCCCTTAAAAAAAACAAGAATACTATGATTCGAGACTGGAGAACGAACGATCTAATTCGCAGGACAGCCAACTAAGTTGAGCGGTGGAAGTCGCGAACTATTTTACTTGAAGTTGTACACAGTTCTGAACAATAACTAACGTATAGCTGACAATTGCCATCCGCCTCTAACGAGCGAAGTTGCGCGCTAATATTCATTCAGTCGTAATGTCTTCTTCTAATCTAACCTTATTAAAAACTAATTATTATATCATTTTAATTCATAAAACTAGCGGCCACATTTTGTTACGGAACGCCGTATACTTCGTAAATATATGTAACGAATAAGATTGGATTAATAAATAGGTATATGAACGTAATGATGCAGCTCTCAGGTCTCATATTCTGAATATTAAATTTTTTTTTAGTAGTTAATAACGAGTCATTTTAAGTTTACATCCTGTACCCAATTTTGGGAATATTATGCAAATTTATATACAGCCAATATTTAAGTGCTTGAATGCTGCTCTTATCACTACGACTGATTTAATCTTATTGTATATTTATATTAGACCCAAAAAATTAGTGCCGGTTGGTAGTTTGTATTCACACGTTTCGACTTGTAAATGTAAACTTACAAGGAATATTTAAAGGAGCAACACACAAGTTTCTTGCTCGTTCTTCTTGTGATGAGACAGCTCCGAACGAGTGGTAGATAAAAACAAATTGTTATGACTATTCAAAAGTGCTTAAATTAAGTTTATTTGAATAAAAAAATGAAAATCTCAATTGGGCAGCGCCACTATTTCGGCCCAGGCATTGGACAAATAAGATATTAATACTACTACTTATCATCATAGCAGAGAGAACCGAGAAACCAAAGGACTCGGTTCTGAGTAGTAACTCGTGTCATGTAGGCACGCTGGTTCCTGATTCTCTTGACTTCTCCATCAGACGACATCAATATTTCATAACAGGAAATAATTACATTATGGTTCGTAATGGCATTTAATATAAATATAGAACCTATAAAAAAAGCAGTACAGTAAGAACAAAGCAATACATACATGTGATGTCGTTCGAAGTCTTCCTTTCCGGTGTGTGAGCTATGAGCTCTATCTCAGGTTCCGGAAGTGGCCAAAGCGTAGCGAGGGCGCAGCCCGGGGCCGAGCGCCTTTCCGCGTCGCAACACGACCAGCGGCGCGCTGACCACGCGGCCGGGTGATAACGTGTGCGTCTTACCTTGCACACGCAAACTAAACCAATACAATACTTGTATTATATGTGATGGGATTAAAATGTATATTTTCTTGAGAGCATGCTGTGTTCAATACTATTTTTTATTCTATACGTGGCTTAAGAGAATTGTGACGAGAAATTAAAATTGAATATGTGTGAACAAAATTGGGTACATAATCTTATTTAATTATATTATGTTTTTGATAAAAACAAACCATTCCTACCATTATTTTTGTTTTGTTAATAAATAAATAAGTGTTATTTGTATGTTTTATTTCTTATTATATTTTCAATTGGGCTCATCGTAAAAATTAGTATCTCTTTTGTCTGTTTTCTATATATTTACATTTGCTATTTATAATATTCTATATATCTATTTCTTCTCTAACATGGCATATTTAATATGTAAGTTATGTAATAAAAAAAACAAAAATACAGACCAGCCCTGATCTCGCTAATCCACTGTAATCGCTCCGCGTGATCGCTGGCAACAAGGTACAGAGTATATTCGTTGCTCTGCTCAGTGTAGCCTACCTGCGTAAAATTACTAGATTTATAAATATAGGTACAAAAAGCTTTATGACAATTCAATTTATTTTTCTGACAGACTCATCAGTGATGGAAAGGATCGGTCTTTCCATTAATCTTATTCAACAAATTAATCCCGCCACCATGTTGAAATCAAAATGAAAATGGCGTTGTATGCTGTAGTCACTACCATAATCATTACCTTGCCTTTATTCTAGATTATGTATGCTATAATATGACAGCGAATATTTAAAAATAGATAACCATGCTTCAATACAAAAATATAACTCATTCACAACAGAATTCTCGAGAATGTACTCTACAATCTTAAAACCTAGATCTAGTTGGTAAATGGTAAAGACACGACTCTACAACACACATATACATAAAATATCATGTTTAAACTAGTATTTTAAAACCGAAATGATGGTAAATTTGTATTTAAATTTGTATATTGTAACCTAATTAAGATAGAAAAAAAATATATTTAAATTAGGAATTGTTAGTAATTTTAGTTAATTGCTCCAAGATATATTTTTTATAATTATGAATTTTGAGTGTGATGTTCACTTATAAATCAGGATCAAACTGTAGTGCCTATTCACACCTGAAAGACTCCATATAGTAAGACGCGGTAAACACTAAAGCTAGGAAAGAGCTCCACTCTGCCGCCGCTTGTATTTCATGGTTGTTACGAGTTAGCAGGGCTGTCAAAACTATGAGTGAAATCGCTCTGTCCGTTTTGTTGTGGTGGTGGTGGTGCAAAACTACTCGGCGAATAAAATATTGCCTATATTTTAAAATTATGCAAGGCCACACTGAAATAATCACAAAAGAAATACTTCAGATTTAATTACAATTATTGACCTACTATTATATTACTTTCAATGTCGAAACCGAAAATAAATTGTCTGCTAATGAATTATAGTAAGGATACAACACTTGAAAAAGAAGTTACTCCAGCCCTTTTTATTTAAGCTCACAAAGGTGGCGCTTCCACCACAACAATTAGGTATGAAATAATCGATTAAAAACATTTCAGAAACTCCATGTTGTGTAGATAAAATATAACAGACAAAAATTTACAGTCTTTTAATCTTACTGTAATAAACAATTGTGCAATTGTCAGGACATATAACGAATATAATGTAGAGTCAGCATTTTGAGAATATTATAACACAATATTGAGTTTTGTACATTGTATTATATTTTTCAACAAAATCGCTAGAGTAACTAGTGCAAATTCTAAAATAATATATATAAACACGTCTAGTCTATATAACACCAACCGAATGCAATAAGTACTAAATATACATAGACATTTGTCTTCCCAACATACATCATTATAAACAGGAAGTCTAATATTTAATAATTTTCTAACAAGAGTATAAGTAAAGTAGAAATAGGTGAGAAACAAGTCCACACAGGATGACTTCGTACAAAATGTAGTTTGGTTAATTAATACTCCGAACCCGATTAAATTGATAAAAAAATTACCTGGAATGGATAGTTGTATGTAGGACTTTTGTCACCGTCACCATCCGGTATTTGTTTGCTGTATTCACCCAACTGCGCTTGTTCCACAGTATGGATGGTGTCCGTTTCAATGCGCCCACACTCTCTGCGCTTCTACAAAACATTAAAAATAAAGACACTCTTTGAATATCAGCGCCCAAAGTTATTGTGACGGTAATAAGTACCTATGTATTCCGAAAGCACTAAGTCATGAGAAAAATAAAACAGAAATAATATAACGTGAGATCAATTAGGTATACATATATTACTGTGCTAGCAGCTTGGCATACTCTCTACTTTACCACTAACCCCGTATGCAGCAGTGGTTAAATACAAAATATTGAAGAATAATGTGTCTTTTAAAAATTTTAATTTGTATGAAGACTTGTCATTTTTTTATATTTTTAATATAGCTGCGGATCGAAATCCTTTCTAAAACGCATTAAGTAATCACAAAAGCGTACAACTCTGTCAAAGTAAAAATTTTGTTGTATGACATCAGACATGCCATTCAATAGATACAATAGAGTGCATGGCTATTTACTTGTATGCCTTTTCATTCACATTTAAAAGAATCATTTATGCCATATGGAAATCTACACATATCATTATATGTGTAAAATGTCATTAAGCGCTGTCTGTGTATATAAAAATATATCAGAAAAACTTTATCAGCGTATTAGAACACCAAACAATGAATTTTTGTATATTTGTCTGTAATTTTTGTATATATCAAGTATATCGCAGTTCCATAATCACTAATACAGGCGGATGTGAGGACGAGATAAGAAGGAGATGCGCTATCACAAGTACAGCCAGAACACTAAAATGCACTCAATGAAAATACTAGTTTTTCCAATTTTCCTTTATTGTGCAGAGACTTGGACAGTGAGGATGCAAGAACGCAGAAAGATAGATGCCCTCGAGATGTGGTGCTGGCGGCGAATGTTGTCAAACAAACGTGCGAACGAGCAGTCCAAGGTATACACCTTGGACTACTCGTCGAACCAATGTGTCCATTCTTAACGAGCTCAACGTCAGGGAGAGATTATCGTCGACTGTGCAAATACGAATTCTCAAGTATTTTGGTCACATTAGCCGGAACGAACACTGTATGGAGCGGTTAATTATCCAAGATTCGGTTAAAGGCAGACGTTCTCGGGGTCAATGATAAACTAGATGGACTGACATTATAAGATAGAACATTATAAGAACGGCTACTCAGCAGTCCATTGTACAATGTTACAGTGCAGCCAAAAACCATACCAGGTGGAGGCAAATTGCAAGAAGCTCTGTCGCCAAGGACCAACGATACCATACCACAAGATATATCCTCATGAAAGCCACGACCACTCTGCCAAGAGTGAACGCCTGAAGAAAATATTAGTCTGTGCTTATATTAACGTAATGCCGAAAAAAATATAGATAATCAATGTGTATATTAGTATTGCTGTGTTTTTATTAACGTAATGAAAATATTTATTTACGAAAAAAATATAGAAAAATTACTACGTTCATGTCCTGAATTTGACGATATTTTTATTTCGAAGTTGAAAATCGCCCTGTATAATATAATTAAAACTTGTAAGTATTTTGAATAATCAGTTATATTCAAGATAACCATAGGTAGAGTGATGTAAGCCTTTTTCAAACAATTAGCAAACGCCGCGTGGCAAAGGACTCTCCATTAAAATTGCTCCCATAACGAGGGACCACAGAGACGGCGGCATGACTGCACATACATTAGTGCGGCGAGGGGTTGACACACAACGCCCTTTGTTAAGTCACTGCCAAGGGCTTTCGAAGATTTATTACTTTGTCAAAGTGAATTATTTCAAATATATCAGAAAAACCAAGAATATACGAATGAAGAAACGATTTATGAACGCAATTTAAAAAATATTGATAATTCAATATGTTCAACAGGCGTGTTTGCTAAATATAGGTAACATGCAGCGACACCCCGTGGGATACAGTCCAGTTTAATTAGAATGACTACTATTAAAAATTTCTGCAAACCATAGAATTACGGCGTTATTATTGTTAATAGCGAAATAATGACTGCATAATTTTTAATCCAATAAATATCGCGAGAATATAAAGACGAATTTTGGATAAAATCCTGAGTACATTTATAGAAAGTATTAGTAATTTGTATCTAAATTGACTAAGTTAAAGATGATTTATAACAAAAAAAAAATGGTCTAGGCGACGTATATTTAGTAATGATCACATATGTAGAAATTAGACCATGCAGTTCCAATGTAAAGTCCATTTTTCTTCACCGATACGTGGTGCTTCAAAAATGTAACAACGTCACCAATAAACAATCAGCGGAACAGTTTTTGAATAAATATTTACAAGGCATACCGGAATGTGATAGAACATTAAAATCAAAAATTCTAATGGGTAAAAATTACAACAGCAAAACTTAAAAATAATTGGACCAAAAAATTAAATTCACGCAAGCTTTCAAATGATAGCGGCTGAAAAGATTTGGAAGTCACTAATACAAGATAAGATACAGAAAGCCGTAGTCATCATAAATTAAACAACACCACCTATGCAAAACAAATTTTGTATATCTATAGTCTCTTGTGTGAGTACCTACCTGAACGAATTTCGATTTTCAATTGAGAGGAAATATAGCTTAAAACAATGTTTAGTTCCATTTAAATATTGTTAGGATTGGTAGTTTTTAATGAAATCCTAGTTACAAATATAAGTAAGTACCTATAAGAATTAGAATTTTATTTGGGTATTACGTATAATTCTAATTCTCTAAAAGACATTTTAAATCGCATTTCAAATGACATCTACTATATGTACGTATACCTTGTCCTGTGACCTTGAATTATCCACCCTCCGCCCCAATTTGGAGACCGTTCTGGAAAATAACAATTATATTTCCTGTGACTATTGAAGAGGCGAATAAAGATTCAAAATGAATGTGTATTAAATGAAATAAACATTTTAATAAATGTAAGAATCAACGAATATTACAAAACAAATTAGATTCTCATTTGTATTACAATAATCATTTTGAAAACCTTTACAATGCAAGTATCAACAGTAGGTACTTAATAATTTGATAAGGGAACTAGAGGCATGAAGTTATATTTGTATGCCTATAAATCCATATTATGATTAATATATAACTTCCTATATGTATTTACTACTTACTTAAAACGTTAAATATATTTTAAATTAAAATTATTGTGAATTCGTCGTCTTTCAGATCAGCTAATAACAGTGTGACAGCAAAATGAAGCGGATCAATTAAAACAGGAAAAATATAGCCTTTTTGGACGGTTCACAAAACTAGTTTTGCGTAGGTGGATACTGAAAAGGTAATGCGCACGAATCTGGAAATATTTTAATTACTGATAGACTCGTTGGTATAAAATAAGGCATCTCTTGCGATAGATATCCAGAACCAATTATTTGTATGAATATCCATAGTAAGGAAATTAATGTGTTAATTTACCAGTTTCGAAGACAAGACGCGATGGGGCTGACGGCGGCCGACGCGGCGGTGCGGAACTGCCGTTCAACGCGGCGCCCGGCAGACACACCCAGTTAACGCATGCGCGTCCATCGCCTACACTTCCCACAGCTATATAGTATTATCCTATGTTATCAAAGGACGAGGGAAACCTAACAACAATATTCAGCCTTACCGCAAATGACAAAAGGCAACCAAATGATAGACAGTTTAATACAATAATAAACAAGTAACACAATAATAAACATTGTTTCCATATACAGCACGAACTGACAATGTAACAATAATATACGACTGCTTTATACAACCAAACTCGGCTAATATTATGGGGTATCTGCTGAACTATCGAAACTTTTGATTATGGCCGATTGACTTGACAAAGCATATTTTAATAAATACGGGAAACGGATTTATGTAATTTAAACAAAATCTATGAAACTAACAGAGCATTTTTAAACTAAAATTGCCGTATATTAACTAATTCTCCTAACCGAATACATCCATCATTTTTGCTTTTATACGCTTACAAAAACCAGTTGTCCCATTATTTTGGTGTCTGGTCACCCATAACTAAATAAACTATCAAACTGAAACAAATATTTAAAACAGCAGATTTTAATATCTATAGCCTTACCTACAACCATGAACACCCGACTAATAAAAAAAGTGATATTCTTGTTTTGTACAACGTAAGAAATGCATGGACTACGTGTATATACATAACACTTCAAAAGCCTGCCAAAAATGAAAAATGTAACGTATTTTTACAATTATTTTTTATAAAGCCTCAATTGACTCATTCTTCTTTATACATTAAAAAATATATAGAAAATGTAATTTTTAATTGTGTTCGAATAGCTAAGGCCGTTTTTTATACTCAAATGGTTCTAAATCTCGGTTTGGCTGAAAAAATCTGGATGTGGTTTAATTCAGTAAAAGTTAACTACAATTACTTCTAGCTGCTATCATAGTTTTGGTGAATGGAGATCATCATCAAAGAAACGTCTACGTATTTTTCAGATTACTAGTACTTAAAGATCCTACTAATATTATAAATGAGAAAATGCGTGTCTGTCTGTCTCCTTGTTACTTTTTCACGACCAAGCGGCTCAACGAATCTTAATAACGCGGATAACGAAGACAAGTCAATATTTTATACATAAAAATGTTAAGTCACCTTTCTCTTTGCATATTTACTTTTTCTTTATACATAGATAGGTGGTTGACTTTTAATAACTTTTATGGACTAGCAATGAAATGAAATTTCAATACGAACTTTTTCGTTATTCATAGTTACTAAGTAGGTACATATGTATAAGGAAAAAGTAAATACACAAAGAAAAATAAATTATTTAATATGTTCCGCTACAACAAATTTGTGCCGAAATTAGTATGAGATCAACAAGCTGCTTGCTGTATAGGTTATTCTATTTTAAAAGAATTATTAGACTTAGATGGAATCAAGAATAATAGAGAGATATGTGAAGAATATGTAACATGACAGAAATTGTTGAATTGTTCATTGAAATACCAAGGCTATGGCTAAGACTATGTCTATACTGAACTTGTTACAGTGAGATCGGCGATTATGGCTTCAGAACATATAATTGACTATTGTCAAAAATATATTAAATTACAATATATACTTTCTTTTTACCAAACTAAGAGCTAGTAAACGATGAAATAGCCTTCAACCAAATATAAAAAGAATTAAAAATTATGTACTTACATATATTTTTTCTGTTCATTAAACAGCCATCTAGTATATATATGGACATAAGTATAAAAGTAGGTATAACATTTGTGACTGTTTTGAATTATAACCACACAAAAACCATAATAATATAGGTACAATAAAATTAGCACACTATCAACATTAAAACAAATTATTGTTATTTACTGTTTAATTTCAATGCTATGAAAACACTTTAACTATTTTATAAGAAAAAACTTTCTAAATGTATATATATAGGTTAAATTTTTATCCAAAATAAAACATTATGAGAACAGAAAATGTATATGATATCAAAATGAAAATTATCATATGGTATCAAAATTATTTGCAGTTGTTGCTACATTTTACAAATATTAATGTCATTATTTGCATTAAATGGTATAATTTTTATCTTAGGATTTTTTTTTTATTTTTTTTTTCTTAGGGTACTATTATCATAACCAGTGGTTTCATATTTATCTGATTACTTATTTAGTTATCTGTGAGTTTGATGTTATTACTGAATTTAAATATATTCTACATCTGCTATTTCTTTTTGAATGGTCTATTGTTAATGTAACTTTTGTTTTGAATTTTTAGTTGTTAATGTTTTATTTTAAAAATACCGAAATCAATTTTATTTCTTTATGTGGGATTTGAGAGTGGGTATTATATCTTTATATGAGATATCGGCAATAATTTGTTAAAATTTAAACTTAACATCATGTTTAATTAATATTAACTGAAATTAGTACATTTAATTTATGTTTTATAATAAAATATTACATTTGTTACAAATGTTAATTATAAATCATAGTTTACTATACATATTTTGAAATAGTCAAATTTTCACATTCTATGAACATTATTGATTTTCAAAATCAAGATATTGAAAATCAGTATTTTCTTATATTTATTAGTATTATATATATTTATACTATATTCACCTGAGACAAGTCTCAGGTGTACTATAGTATAAATACCCAATAAGTTATTTTCTTTAAAATTCCCATATGTTTATATTTGTGTGTATAATATTAACACTATTGTCTTGTTTGTTACTTTTAAGATAAAACATATGAAAATATTCTCTTAGGTCTCTATTTGGAACAAACAGAGCAAAAGAAATTAAATTAAAAGTAATGTATTTGAGTAGGAAAGCATATTCACTTTTTGACATATTTAAATCATATTCTAGTCTATAATGTACATTATACATTCAAGTAACAAAATTGTGATCATATGAAATGATATAAGTACATATGAAATATAAACATGAACAAGTATTCAGTATTACAAATTTATGCCTCTATATGACACAAAAACTGTAATTTATAATAAATTTATCTTTATAATTAAAATTTACTGAACTTACCCACAGATATATTCAAATTAAACATCCTGAGCAGCATGAAACATATGATTTATTTATAAAACAATTGGTGAAGAGGAAAATATTTCAAATAAATACAGAGATAACTTACTTCCCCATCTCCATCATAATAAATAAGAGCACGACTCGTCAAAACAATCAATCGCTCTTTGTAGTTAACTGGAGTAAATAACTTCTTATTCTGAGACCGCTTCACCATAAACGTTTGCAATATAACTTCATCTTCATCTTTTCCAGCCATTGTATACTGAAAGTATATAAATCCATATATGTTTGCAAAACTCCTGCTTATTTCAATATAATATACAAATAATAAATCTAAATAAATAAAATATACCGGCAAGGTAATGAGTAGTTATGTGGAATTTCAAATTATACACAAAATAAAAAAGTATACCTGCTAATCAATTAAAGTCCATAACAAATGGATAAATGGGTACATATAATTACTAAAAACTTTATTTAGTTGAATATATTATGGAATAAAATTAGTCATCAGTAACTGGCTAATATGAATAGTTCAGGTAGGGGATTGATTTGTTTGACAAACTTTGACTGAACATAAACTGAATTAAATTGGAAGTCATACAACGAAAACACCGTTTGACTGACAGATATCAGTTTTTTTTTTTTTGTTTTATTTATCCGTAATGGAAAGGCAAAGAGTCTAAGCCCATACAGCCGTTGTCTTTGGTATCATTTTTGTATTTTAATTTCTTTTTTCCTTCTTTAGATATCTTCTACTGTGGAGACAATATATTCATAAATTGGTTTGTATATTTCTTGATTTTTAAGTAAAGTCTGAATAGTGCGCGGGATATTCAGATCCTTGTAAATGGACATTAATTTGTCATTCAAACGTTGTATATTGAATTGTTGACAATCGAAGAGTAGATGATCCAGAGTCTGTACTTCTCCGCTTGAACAATAATTACACACTGGACTTATCATTTTCATTCTACACAAGTGTTCATTAAATCGTCCGTGTCAATTCTTAAGCGACTTAATGTCGTATAAAATCTTCTAATTTTAATTTTTCCTTTAGTAAACCATGGGGATTTAATATCCTGTTGAATTTCTTTTAACCATTTTCCTTTAATTTTAGTAGATTCATCACAAAGTTTTATCCAATTTTTAATCCTTTGCTTTATTTCTATAATAACGTCTCTGTCCGGAATTTTTATTCTCTTCTCTATTTGATTGACAGGACATATATTAAACGAGCTATATATTGCTATCTCATTACCAATTCGAATATGGGAAGGAACCCAAATTAGAATAATATCTTTATGTAATTTATGTTTCAGGTCATGCATCTTACTGCGAATACTTTGAATTACAGAGGAAGCGGTTAATTTATTATGAGAATCGTTCGAAAGAGCCATCAAAACACTCATACTATCTGTTATGATTAACCATTTGTCACAGTCAAAAGTCTCTTTAATGTAGTCTAAAGCCTTAATAATCGCATAAGCTTCTGCAAATATACTTGCATTTTTCGAAATTTTGGTACCACTTGCCATTTGTTCTGTGCCATCATATATAGCAATGGAAACACATTCTTTATTTTTTGCTCCGTCGGTGTATATTTGCCTATATGTGTTCCACCGCGACAGGTATTCATATACGTCATATTTATCTTTTAATGTTTTATTAATATTTATAGAAATTTGAGAATAGAGGGCATCATATGAGTATCCATAATAACTCGGGGATGGTTTAATATAGATATTAAAATTACGGACCCAATCAATAAATTCACTAACCTTTTCAGAAAGAAAAGTTTTTGGAAATAAAGAATCTAGTAGTTTAATTAGCAAGGTATTTTTATTTACAGAAAGTATTTCAACAGAAGTGTGTTTTAAAAATTCAAATCGTAATATTAATGGTGATAAGTAACACTCTACTTGCATAGAATTTATAGGTGAGGTATTCATAGCACCCAAAATTAATCTAAGATTTATATTTTGAATTTTTTCAAGTTTTTCTACATAAACATTGTATTCACAAAAGCAAAAGAAAGCATATTCAAAATGTGTTCTAACTAACGATTTGTATAACATCAATATAGTTTTGTTGCTCCCCAACGAGTGCCTACTAATGATCTAAGAATATTAGTTGACATCATGGCTCGATCTGCTAACAATCTACATACTTTTTCCAACACATTTGTTTTGGAATAAAACGCCCAAAAATTTTACGATTCTATTGGTATAGAATTGTATGTAACAGATAAATTTGAAAGATCTAAATTAAGATTATTATTCTCAAATAAAATCATTTTACTTTTCGAAGGACTAATTTCTAAATCAAGATATGAAAAATATACAGATAGATTACGTAGAGCATTGTTTATTTTGTAACTAATGTCTGATATATAGCAATATATTGCTAAATCATCAGGTTGAAGATTATGTACTTCTCTACCCAATACTTCATTTAATCTATGGACGTACAATATGTACAAAACACTTAATATACCGCCTTGACACACTCCGATATGCGATAACCGAGGTCCAAGACATGTATTATTAGTGAGCTTCAGCATATACTTCACGACCATTCATAAAATTAAATATCCAGCGTACTAATTTATTTGATATTCCAAGTGAAGCTAGAATGTCAGACATAATATTATGATTGATATTGTTAAAAGCACCGATAATATCAAAAAAAACGCCAGCAAAATGTTGCCTATTTTTTTTAGTTCTATTTATGTCCATATATAAATGACATAAACTTTCGCGAGCCGAAAATCCACGTCTAAAGCCAAACTGATTCGGCGGTAATATATTTTGAGATTCGATAAAAAATTCGAGACGTTGTTTTATAAGTTGTTCAAAAATTTTTCCAAAACAGGATGTTAAAGTTATAGGTCGATATGAATCAGCTTGTGAAGGATTCTTATTTGATTTTAATACTGGTATTAAACAATCAGTTTTCCATTCATTAGGAATAATAGAATTAAGCCAAAGTAACTTTAGGATATTAACAAACATTTCTAAATTGTTTTCATTTAATTTTTTTAGCATTTTATATGACATATTATCTAATCCTACAGCTGGATCCTTCCTACTTTTTACTGCTGTTTGAAGTTCTACTAATTTAAAGGCGATTAAAAAAACTATCAGTATGTTTAAAAGTGTCACCTATATATAGAGGTCTTGAGACAAAATCAGGAGTATATTTGTGCAAAAAATCGTCAATCCATGGCATTAGATTGTTGTTATTACCTATATAAGTTTTATTTTAATATTTTTTATTAAATTTTCTCAAATTTTGCCAAATGGTTGAAATTGGTGTTAATCTATTTAAATTTGAGCAGAAATTTTGCCAGCTTTGTATACGTACATTTCTTATTGTTAATTTTTTTAGTGCTTAGCATCTTTTAAATGTAATATAATTGTCTGAGGATCTCGTTTAAAATGACGATGAGCATTTTTACTATTTTGAACAGCTGATGCGCATTCTTCATTCCACCAGGGAAGAGGACAATGTTTATATTTTTTAATACTGTCACCTTGTGGATGCGACAATTTTTTTGTCACATTGTTGACTTTCTGCCTAATACTATATCAACGGTGTCTTGCATAATTTTACAGAATGCTGAAAGTGATAATGAATTCTCATTAATAGAGAAATCCTGTAATTTTGTATTAACAAAATACTATTGTATCCCAGTTTATTAGACGCAAATTACATGAATTGAAACAGTACATTAATTTGTGCTAAACTATGACATGGAGAATAATCATTTCCTACGGTTAGTTCGGTCACTGTAGGAAGATGATAACTTCATCGTGTACATACCATTCACACATAAGTGCTATGGTCGGACTAACTATAGAAAATTAGGTTTCCATATATGTTCCTACAGTTGTAACAAACAGAAGAAAACCAAGTTGCATTCGTCTAGTGATTCTAAAATATCTCTACCTCTAGGTTTAATGGTATCACATCCCCAAATAGTGTGATGTGCATTGAAATCTCCGGCAATAATGAATGGTTTAGGTATATTATTTACAAAATTTATGAACTTAGATTTAGAGAATGGTGTGGTACAATTTGTTGGGCAATAAACAGTAGCAAAAGATATTTTCTTATTATTAACAATAATCTGTACAACCAAGAATCCATCATCAGACATTACATCAATTTTATTATATGTTATACTATTATGCAGTATAATAGCAACACCATTATGAGGGTTACCTGAGTCATTTCTTACTATATTATATCCTTTGATTTTATACTTATGATGTGGTCTTAACCATGTTTCACAAATTAATGCAATATGAATATTTTTACTATATAAAAATTGTGATAATAAATGTGGATTGCTCAACAGACTTTGAGTTCCACTGTATATGTTTAATTTGTTTATTGGAATTTTGAATACTATTTATTTTAGTACTGAAATTTTCATTAAATATATATTTTTAGGAGGTGTTATTTAATGTTATTAATTTAACAATGGTCTCTACAAGGACCTAGTGATTTGTCATCATTTTTAAAATTGAAATAATGGTATTATTCTGTTTATTTAGTCTGTGTCCAAGAGTGGGAAAAGATTTGAAAGTCAAAAGGTCTTTGTGCTTTATTTCTATTCTCAGAGAATGGCACTGTGATGATCATTATATGGTTCCCATCGCAATGGAAACACTTGGCATTATCAATTGGTGAAATGTTTTAAAATTATGGTTTCCTTTACAAACGGAACATATCTCAGCATTCTTGCAAAACTATATTATTTTAAACACCGTTTGTTTAACAGGAGGAATGTAACGTTATCATATCCATTCCAGTTTATGTTGATGCAGCAAAAGTAATGGCTACTGTCTGTGTTGGCTGTAGATAAAAAGTAACATCATTTTTAACTTTTCTTAAAAAACGTCAATACAAATAATTTTCTTATAGCTTGATAACATTGTGTAAATCTTCATATTGGATAAATTTATAGGACATTTCTGATGACTCCTGTGACTTCGGTTGAACCTGCTGGAATGCATTTAAACTGGTATTCTTTCAAAAATGTTAAATTGTTTAAGAATTCATTTGCAAGACCTGGCTTCTCAAAGTAAACACCGATTTTATATTTATTTTTCTAATTTTTACCCCTTTATTGAATCTTTTTAAGCAGGATGATAAGGATAAAAGATATGGCTATGGCGGTATTAGAATCAGTAGACTCAACGAAGACAACAAATTCAGTTGCAGATGTCTTCTGGGTATCGTCGATTATAATCAGTAACAAAATAAGGTTTATATAATACTTTAGATCTGAATCTGTTCTTCGTAATCAAATTTACAATCGCTATCAGGATCGTCTGGAGATGCAGTTTTTTTCCGCTTCCTTCTATTCTTCCCCATGACGAGGGTGCAATACACTATTTAAATAGCAAACTGTACAGAAATAATTAATATATAATGGAAAATGAAAATATAAAATCAAAATTCCTTTCAAGCGTTCCCGCGACTTTTTTTCACAGATATCAGTATCAGGCTGATAATAATAACATTGTTGTCAATGTCAGGCAGCTGTCAACTAAACGGAATTGAAGTATTTTGGCTGTATTTGTGCCGAATGAAAATAATTGATTCAAATGCATGTCAAGAGTGTAATAACAGCAGTCAGACCCTAAATCACATATTTTTCGAATGTTCCGCTTATAATATTCAACGCTTGGTCTTTATTGATAATTTACTGAACATTTACAAGAAACAAAAAATCCTGGGCTGATATTTTGTAATGTAAAAAAAATTAACTCAAGAAAAAAAATAACAAAAATCTCTCCAACGGTATAGATACTAATTTAGGGTTAATAATTATTGTTTTCGTCCTTTTATTAATTGTACATGTAATTTAATTTTAAGATTACCTACCGACAATGCTACTCATCCAGTGTCCCGAGAGTTAATGTCCTCAGATTTAATGCCGAGGCAAAAAGGCTAGATCCAGGCCTAAACTCAACCTGCACCCTTTTAGAGAGATAGGGAAAACGCAGTGTTCTGTATCATATTAAAACACGTGTCGCAATATGGGCGCGGAGTAGACACGATAACAGTCAGATTTTTTCACACAATAGAGAAGGTCGTAACACTTCCAGTTATGACCAGTAATACTCAGTAATGGTAAAGTTTCCCCACTGAATGTATATGGTCTCACACATGCTAATGGTAGCGGAATTAAACAAAAAATATTAATACTACTGAGTAATGGAATGGATTTCCCTAAATGTCATATTTATTAAACATCCTATTGAATTCCTATGAAATTTATACCGATACTAGCTGTCCCGGCAAACGTTGTTTTGCATTAAAATAAAAAAATAAAATTTAGGGGTGGATTACCCCTAACATTTAGGGGGATGAAAAATAGATGTTGGCCGATTCTCAGACCTACTCAATACGTAAACAAAATTTCATGAGAATCGGTCAAGGAGGAGTATGGGAACGAAAACTGTAACACGAGAATTTTATATATAAGATTTTTTTTTATATACATATTCTTCTATTACCAATAAGCCATGAATATTATTAACTGGTATACTCTTTTATATAAGTTGTTGTTATTGTCTTTTATACAACTTGACACTTGATTTTTATATGAACAACAATAAATAAATATACTAAAGTTGTAAAATACCTGTATTGATAAAATTATAATTCTGAAAGAAAAAAAAGGTTCCTTTGGAGGAAAAGGAGCATTTTGGGCAAATTCGACGGATATATGGTAACAGCGCTTAGAAATTATCCAAAGCCGTGAAGCTATTTAAAAAAAATGTTTTACGTGTTTTAGCATTTTGTCAATTTTGTAAAACTGAAATCAAAATATTACAATACAAATAATGTAAATTGTGATCATATTTTTAATTCGTTTGCCTTATTTTAGTATTATTTCTTTGTGAGTAGAAAGTACCCAGTGATTATTAATTATTTTAAGAAACCTACAAGCAAAAATTGTTTTAAATATCTAACAAACATGTCTTCTGAAACGGCACAAGTTAGTTCCTTGCCTTTACCACCAATGCAATATATAAATTTTTACACCGATGAAAATGTAAGAAGAAATAGAGCGCCTTTACCACCACGACCTATACACGATTCGTACTCAATGTTTGGACATCCCTTCAATGCAGATGATACCATTATACGATCTTTAGAAAGTCAGGTAAGAAAAGTTTAGGGTTTTTAAAATACTAATCTATAAATAAGAAAACCTAATTTAAATTAATGGCCATTTATTCATAGAACTAATAGTCCTGACATTATCAACTATAAACAAACTTGGAAATGGGTACAATTTAGAATAGCTGGGCTGTATATATTTTTGAAAGCTATATTTTTTAAAATAATTTATGAAAGCTAATAGGATGATGCACCTGCCTGTTCAAATGGTATACAATGGAGGACGATAAAATGAGCATGAAATCAGATCACTTAACTCATGTTTGTAAATGCCAATTTACCACAGCAGTTTCCAGGGGGAGGTCAAACTGACATGATACATTATTAGCAATGGGCTTATTTGCCCACATTACTGACAATCCTCTTCCACCCAATTTTCTATATTCTCAGATGTATTCAGAATACTATTCATATAAATGTATTAGATAGGTTAGATGATTGTTTAAGTCGACTGAGAGCGGGGGGCGAAGTTATTGTTGGTAATTGGGGAGGACCAATTGCTAGCAATGTCAGGTTCACTGCAATGCTGCCTAACCTGTAAACTATTAATAAATTCCTAAGTTGTATAATGTCATGTTTCAGGGTTTCAGGCGATTATATCCTATGCACTTTGAAAGACGAAGAGAATTAAAAAAGCTCAACCATTCATTACTAGCAAATTTTTTGGATCTTTTGGATTTGTTAGTACACTGTCCTGATTCTCCAAAGAGAGCAGAAAAAGTTGAAGATTTAAGTTTGCTATTTATACACATTCATCATTTATTAAATGAATTCAGACCTCACCAAGCCCGTGAAACATTAAGAGTAATGATGGAGCTTCAAAAACGCCAGCGTGTAGAAACAGCTACCAGGTATATATTATTTTATATCATGATGGTGGCAATATAAACTAATTATCACATAGAACAGAACCACAATATGTATACATATGTTGTGAGTCTGATAGACATATAACAATGATTACAGATATAGTATTTAAAGTTTTTAATTTCAAATAATTTGATATTAACAAATTAGTTATATTTTTTAAAGAATTGGTCTGTTTAGATTTGAAAACATAAATTACTCTATTTAAGGGGTTGTATCACCTTGCAAGACAGAAAAAATGAGTTTGATTGTGAATTTTTTTTGAAGAGGCATTTACATTAAATTTTTTCTATTAACTTATAAAATATATAAGTTAATACAAAAAATGTACATAAGAAAAATTTATAAACTTTAATAATAAGCAATTCATTTTGATAAATATTAGATCCCCTTGTTTCTTCCGATCCTTCTCGATTCCAAGCCGATCTCCAGAGGGACCTCCAAAAAAAGGTGTCTGGCAGTGAGGAAGATATTTCTACTTCAAATTATCTTGAACCCAAAAACAAAAAAAAAGTGTCTTGAATTATGAATACAGCTAATGATCAAAAGAATAGTGATAATTTTGAAAAAATGGCGGCTTCCTACGACAAAAATTCCTGTTTTGGTGAGAAAATTTACACTTAAGTGGCTTAAAAAATAGAAATTATTGTCCTATATCTTATTCCTTCGATCATTACCTGACGAATATATCTAAGAACCCCCTTTCAAAATTTCAAGTCGATCGATCGTCGATGCATCCTCTTTTCTCACGTAGGAATGAGCGTTTCCAAGCGATAATCCCAATGCACTCATATAATAAAGGAGAGGTGTTTCACCTTCATTGAACAACCCGGCTGCAATATATTATGCAGCTGACGAACATTGTGACGAAATTTACTTATCTTCAACCTAAAATTTCTAAATATGGCTTCCAGGTATAAAGTGGCCCTTTTGTATTCTTATTTCAAACATAATATAAATCTCCAATAAATAAAAACATATAATACTCAGTCTTGCGCTTCGCCCACTACCGAATTATCGTAGACGTCCTTCCTAATACGCACGTATCTCCGAGACTGTTTGTCGGATCAACTTAAAATTTTCGGAATATATTCTCAAATATATGTACATTCGAAACATGCAAAGAAAAAAAAACTATTTTTTGAAAAAATAACAAGTGGATATAACCCATTAAAGCTATTTATATCATATGTAAGAAATCAAGTACCACATTACATTTTGCTATTAAATTAAATTCTAGTATCAGATTCATTAAATCCTTTTTTTGTAGGTTCAAGAAACATTTGGATAAAGTTCAAGATATATTACAGAATGCATTACAGAGTCTGCCTGACCAGAATGAGATTGAATCAAATTTTAAAGTACCAATAGAAATATTAGAGCATATGGACTGTAGCCCGAATGATAATGCTAATTCAGATCCTTGTTATGAACTAGATCGTATTATGTGTGATGTGATTGATAATATGAGATAACAAGTTTTGAAATAAAATAAATTAGTGTACTTTTTTTATATTATTTTTTATCTCAAAAATGTGATGAAAAATTTAAGAATTACATGTCCAATTGACTTTAAAGTCAATTGGACATGTCACATTCGATTAGCTACATTTGTACAACTTGGGACCTAGCTGTATAACATTTTTAAATGCAATTTTGCAAGGTAGATTGGCAATCATAGAATACACAATTTTATGATCAAGGAATAAAAAAAAGATACCTATAACAAGAAATACATGTGTACTTTGTTCATTTTAGTTGGTTTCGATAGTTCATTTATTGTGTTTCTTGAAAGTGATCTATATTTATAAAATTTGTTTTATGCAAATACTACAAATATATATGTGATAGGTTTCTGTAATAATGATATATGTTGTTAGTATGAGTTAAGAAATAAAAAAATATTTTCATGAAAATCATTTATTAATGAAGTAAAACTTCAGTCCTTGTGTTATGTATTCCACATATGTTGCCCTCACCTCGAAAAGGCACAACAACTATGATCTGAAACAAGAACTAGTGACAAAACAACTTTCTAATTCAATTACTTACTTTATTATAAGGTGCTGGATTTTCTACTCCTGTCTGTTATAATCCTATAATTGGTTAATTTTACAAATATATACTTACATGAAGTTACAGATGATGCTCAAATTGTGATGTTCTTAATTTTAATTGCAAGGAGTATACTTACAAAAATGAACAATTGTAGAGAACTGATGGACAATGTCTGCCTTTTTTTCCCAGGTAAAGGGATTACTATAAATAAAATAAAATTGACAGTATACTTACTATGTAAACTGCAAAGTATCTGAAAAGTAGGATGTTAAGAGCCCATTTGTTCATGTACTGCTTTTTAAATTATGTTTGACGTCTGACGAGAATTCTAAGCCAAATTTATTACATATCCAATAACGAATGCAGCAAAAAGTACGAAATGAAATAACCTGGTCAAATACAACAACACTGCATAAAAAGTACTGGGTCTTTATCTACTACAGTAGTGCAATATATTAATCTATAGGTTGAATGTCATGCCCAGTAGTATCATGCACCAATGTGTAAGTATCTTTCAATTCTTCATTATATCATTTCACGATATTTTAATTGGAACATTCTGTTCAAAATGTCTAATTATAAATAGTGCTATAATGAAATGTTATTTAGTAGTTGCTCCGCCGTCTAAATGGTGCACCACTGTTTCTGAAGTCGCGTCTACCATAACCACCCCTTCGACCCCTCCCAGAGCTGGGTCCGGAGAATCTGCCAGCGTTGTTTAATCTGGAACTATATTTTCCAGAAGGTGGTGTGTACATTTTTAGGTTTCTATCACCACTGCGTGAACGTTTCTCAGGAGATTCTTCGGAATCTCCATTGTCAAATGTAATTGGCCGATGTCTCTTTTGGTGAGCTGATGAGTGTTTATCCTTTTCCTCTGATTTCTCGAGTTTCTCCTGTAAAAGAACATTATAATTAACATAGTATCAAAACTGTTAAAATCAATAGTAATGGAAATATATGCATGTAGAAATATACCTCTCTATCTGTCTTTTTAACTGATTGAAATGAAAGCTGTACTTTGCTTTTGAAACTTGGTGGTGTGCGAAATATATCCCGAATGAGAGTATTTATGTTGGAGGTTGTCTTCAAAGCTGCAATCTTCAACTTGTTTTCTTCTGAGTTAGCATCGTCTGCTTTTTTACCCTGTTAAATATATAAAGTTATATTAACAATGTTTGTTATTAGTAATATAAGAAAAAAATGACAAATAAGTATATTATAAAAAAGAAATTTATTGTAAGGTGAGGTAGTTCTAGACTGATCTATGAAAATACAAAAAAGTCAGCTACTTAAAGTTTGTTGCCACTCAGTCCATCTCATCCGTCCCGGTTGGTTGTTAAGTTATTTTATGTGAAGATATAGATATGTAAATACTTTGAGCCCTAAAGATATATAGTTAAATAAATAAGTAGAACACTATTCATTAAATTTGTTGTGCAGTTACCAAGTTTATATAAACTTTATCTATAAATTATTTAAGTTAATATAACAAGTGGGGTGTCATACCTGTGTAACTTCCTTAAGTTTTTTTATATAACCTTGCGTGAGTCGTGCCGTGTACTGCAGGCGCAGGCGTAAATCTTTCAATCTTGTGGCATCAGTGGCAATAGCATCTGGTGCTTTACGGCACAAGGAGTGAAGAGCAAATAAAGCACATTCCACATGGGAAAATTGGAGTGACGGAAGAGTTTTGGTGTCTTCAGTGGTATTATCAGACTTTTCCTTATTTTCAGAGTTAGTTTCATTTTCCACAGGAGCTTCAGGTAAATAATTCTATAAAAAAAAATAACTCGTATTACATTTTTTTGCTACATTATATGCTTACATTTTATATTAGGTTTGATGAAATAATGAGATATAGATAATATAGAAATATTACAAATTTGGTAATAAATCATGTATATACTTCCCATTTGAATAATCAATTGATTGGCTCAGAAAAAAGAAAATTAACTTGTTTGTCTATTCCAAATACTATAGTGTGTATACACTAAAAAATGATGAAAAATGTCAATAAAGAAGAATCAAAAGTATAAACTTTCTTTCTCATAGTACTAATAGGGACTGTTCATATTTGGTAGTAATACGAACAGCCCCTATTAGTACTATGAGAAAGAAATTCTGTAAGGTTGAATTCAATATTTAATGAAAAAAAATCTTATATCATTAATATCAGTAATCATTTCAAAAAATTTTCCCTATGCTAAATAAAGTATATTTTAAAATAATCAACATCTTACCATTAGTAGATCATAGACAGCATTAACTTTTGCCTGCACATTTTCTATTTCTCCACAATACTCTGTTATTTCAGCAAATATTTTCAGAAGTTCCATTTTAATATCAGAAGCACCATCTGCTGAAGTTATTTCTTTCCAGCTAGGTAATACATGTTTGCAAAAGAAGTCGACAAATTGTGTAGAATCCACTTGTGTCTGTAAAATATTTTTTTTGTAAATAAAACTTTATATGTGACATACGTAATTTTGTAGTTTAATTTACACTTCTGTTATTAAACTGCTGTAAACTTACGGAGAATAATGGTAGAGCATGCTGTGTACACTGTATAATTCTATCAACATTCTCTGGATCCTCAGGATGCCAATCATCTGGAGAAAAAGCAAGAGCAGCCACAAGTTGTACTAGTTCCTTCTTCCCTGCAGGGGTTTTTCCAAGTCGAGACCATGTCAACAACTCCATGATGTGTTCAAATTCTTCTGCAACTACATCCTAAAACAAATGTTACATGTTAATAACAGTGATTATAAAATCCAAATCAAGTATTTGTTTATCTGCTATAGAAAAACAATCTCCATTAGCTTCTTATATATATAGCATAATCATCTTGTTATTATTTTTAATAATATAAATGTGAAAGTTTGTTGAATATGTCCATCCATATTCAACAAACTTTGCTGTTTCATTTCTCTTTCATGCAAAAACTGAATGAATTTTGATGAAACCTTACAGTAATACAGCTTATACATCAGAATAACATATAGTCTATAAATTTCACGAGGGTAAAACCATGGGCAAAGCGAGTATACATTTTTTTTGGGGTGAGTTTGTGTATTATACCCCAAACTGACCCCTTCTAAAAAAATTATCTTCTGTTCATTAGTTAGCTATTGAGTCCCTCATTAATACTCTATTTTACAGAAACTAAACTCATCTCAGACTACCTACCTTATGATAATATTACTTTATTATTAAATCATTGTTGTATCTAATCACTATACTGCGATAAAAATGAAATCGTGTCCATACAATTTCAGGAATAATTCTATAAACGAATTTTAATAAAATTTGTTGTTAAGATAGATTCGTCATAAGTTTGGACATAGGACAATTTTCTTCTGAATTCACACTGACAGCTAGTTACTAATAAAAAGTAATAATAAAATAAATAAAGTACAAATTAAGGATCAGCAAAGAATTCCAATGTAGAGATTTTGCAATGGTTTCAGATAAAGCACTCAAAACTATAATTGCTGCACCACTATTCGCCAGAACAATTGCATGAGTAGAGGGGAATAAGAACAGTCAGAGAAGAAATAGAGCACAGAACACGAGTATACAGTGATTGTATAAGGACACATACTAATATCCTTGGAACAGTACTATGAGACCTATTGTACTGCAGAAGGTATAAAGACATCATGCATGGGATTTTATTCACTGATGAGAAACATTAAAGTAAAATGAGACAGTTTCCTCACTGGAGGTACAGTTCTCTCCCATTAACAGTCCCACAAAAAATCTGTTAAAGGGTTGGTGAGCTAATTGCAAGATATAGATATGAAATAAAAAAAATCAAGAATTAACATACTTCTAATATTTTCTTGCACTCTGCAATAATCAAATCTTCAGCTTCTTTATTAATAATCTCCCGTCCCAACTGTTTCACTTTTGTTGCCAAAAACTTAATGCATCTTTCCCTCACTATTTCATTGGTCACTTCACTGTCCGTACTCTGATGAATTTGAGAAAACAGACCCACTAATGACCCTTTGGGATCACCTTTAATAATAGCCACCAATGAATTTGTAACCACATTAATTTCAGTGGCATCATCTGACTGCAGTAGTTGGGCTAAAATATCAGCAATTCTTTGAGTGTGTTCCTTATTATCCTTACAAAGTAACGGCAAGTCTTTGATAGCTTGTTTTCGGGTCTGAAAGCATTTAATGTATTATTACAATTTAGATTAGAAAATAATGTTATTGTTACTATGTAATAATAACCATAAAGAATATTTACAGCGAGGTTTGCCTCATAGATCAGAAACGATTGGGAGCTCAGGTCTCTCCCGAGCCCCCAATCTTTTCTAATCTCAGGGAGGGACACACTAAACATTTAGATGGGTCTTACTATATAATAAATGGGATAAGGAAGAAGCCGATAATGATGTTTATTAAATATATCATGAGATTAAACAAATAAAAATTATTTGAATATGGTTTACCACAGATATATTAATTGTTGCAAAGGACATTTAATTACTATGTAACATTATGTTTAAGTGGATCAAATAATAAATAAACTATGATTCAAAAAGTTACCTATAGATGTCATGCTAAAATATTAAATCCATTTTGGAATTTCAATAAAAGAAAAAGTTATGAAATTATGGTTGTTCTTTTTATATTATAGGGAATCAATAAGAACTTAATGACATTTTTATTAAAATTGTTTATGCAGTCTTTTGATTTTAAGTATCGTAAAAAATCTTTCTAATAATAAAAGGCACTTACGGCGACATCATCATCCTCGCATAGATCAAATTGAGCTTCAATGGCTTGTTCAGCAAGGTTAGGAAAATTGCTAAAAAATTTTGCTATGAATTGCGAAGCCAATCTCTTCTCTTTATCTGATCCTTTTACAGCTGCCAATATTTCCAAATATTCCTTTTCGTGCTACAAGTAGAATAAGATTCTAATGATTATGTTCAAAATTATATACCTAAAACGTGGGAATTTAGTTTAAGAAATACCTTCGAAATGTCATCCTTAGCGTCAGCTAAAATGCCGTAATTTTCGTACAATTTATCAATGTTATCAGCCGACATGATGGATAATTATAATATACTATACGCACATAAGAATTATTTATTGCAAAAGATACATTTAAACACACATTTCTGAGTTACAATAATAATGTTTAAGAGTTCAATCGATTTCATAAAATGAGAGAGGAACGATTACAAATGAATGAAATGATTGATGAAGTTAAGTGAACGAAGCCACTTTTTTTTTTAATAATGCTTTATTGATGACCATGGATACCTGTCCTTCAGTCGAATACATTTGTGTACTCATAACGTAAACATTTTAAACAAACTTATAAATAAACTATTATATAAACTTACTACCAATATTTCATATCGGAAGATTAATACATAATATTACGGTAACTATTTCGTTTCTATATCTGTTGTGAAAATATTTCGAGAACGCTTTAAAACCAGTTGTTATTAATAAGGCAGATTTGCAAATAGGGGAACAAACCTTAATAAATCGTTGTTGAATGAATATAGAGGTTCATATACATAATTGTATTTGACTAATAAATTCTGTCATTGTTAAAAAATATATTGATATATTAAAAGCAACGTTTAACATCATGTTCGTATTTTAGTCAAATATCCATTAAAATCTAGGTCATTTCACTCGGAATATCTCCCAATTCAACAAGTTATGGGCCCATATTCAACGATCGTTACACTATTTCGTACAATATTTTTTTGTTAGTAACGCAAACTCTAGCATTAATGTATTTTAGTAATGAAATTGGACTCCGTTATTATTTTTAGAGTATCTATATATAAAAAGAAATATTGAACGTATTTAGCAAAGAAATAGTTCTCAAAATTTTTCGCGATTGGGATCGCACAATTTAATTTGGAGCTCTTTTGTTCGTTTCTCGAGTCAGAGAAGAGTAGTATTTCTTGCAAATATTTATGTGTTTTTGTTTTTTATTAAGAAGAAAAGAAATATGCAAGTCCACAAAGAACAGGAATGAAATCTGATGTCTTAGGTACAGCTATATTTGTTTAAAGGTCTTGTGTTTTATTTTAAAATTAGTATATTGACATAGTAGTTACCTTCTTGCACAGTGACTAGTACCTAATAGAAAAACGAAAGTGTGTTTTTCTTTGTAATAGACAAATTAAAAAAAATACTTTTACTGACCACTGAGGACGTCAAGGCAATGTTACGTACCTATTATATATTGTGTGACACGGGGGAAAATTGTACGAGATAGGGTCTCGTATAGATATATCTATATTATTACTAGTGATGTGCCGGATCGTCAAAAATGTAGATACGCGGGTAGAGATCTGAATACGGATATTTAGTTTCCCGATCCTCAAATACGGATAAGGATTTTAATTTTCTTACACAATCGTTAATCTAACATCGTCGGTTAAATAGAAAAATGGCACTATTCAACATGTAAATTTTTTACAAGACAAGCATTTAATGTTTTTAATTTTTTTTTTTTCTTTAAAGTTTTAACAAAAATTTACACAGTAGTATTAGGTATACATAATTTTAAAAGTATTTAGATAATGATTAAGACGGCGTGGTTAATTTAATTGACTTATCTATATAAAAGTAGGTAATTCTATCTTCTATGTAATTTTTCTATTTAATGTCGCGCAGTAGGTACCTACCTACAAATAAGTACGGATATCCGGCGCATCAGTAATTATTACCTACATAAGATTAAAGAAAATATGAAAATAGGTAATTAAATATATGATCACAGTCATTTAATAAATTATAACAGGAATTCATCCATAGAGTAGTAATCTACTCCATAGAGTAGGTAACTACTCTATGGAGTAGATTACTACTCGATGGATAAACTAAGCAATAGGCTAGCCATGGTATAATTGTTCCTATCAAAGAAGCAACTAGTCTTTAATTAAAGCTGACCTACCCTGAACTAATATTTTTATAAAGTTTCCAGTTCATTACCACACAGAGAAGGGGATTGTTAGTAATGTTGACTAATAACCATATTGTTAGCAATGTACCTACTATGTCAGATTAACCTCCACTTGGTTCCTCCTGGAAACCATCGTAATAAATTCAGGGTGGATTTGCCACAATAGGCTAACTGACCTGACCTCATACTCATTTTATCATCATCCACAGGTGCCCCGTCAGCGTAAGCCGTTAGCGCATAGGCGGGTTGCACCATTCCATTATGATCCATAAGAAAAATAATCCAATACCACATATAAAATATTCAGTATTATTGTTTTTTTTTTGTTACAAACAGTAATAAAACTTGATATAGAAGGATTTAAGAATCTTAATAAATAAATTGCAATTGCGGAGTTATTCCAAACGGAGGATTTCTTCCAATCAAACTTTGAATGATTAAGATTTGTGGAGTACCTAGTGGAAACAACAGTATTAAATGATAATAACAAAAAAATATAATAAACTTCTTTACATTTGTTATTCTTCTAATTGCAATTTTCATCTTGTGACGCCCGTGGTAGCACTCATGGGTTGCTATTTCGGAGGGCTAAGATGTAATGAATCCGTATCCTATAGCTTCTTTACCTACCGGTAGAGATTCCATCCAGATTCGTTCACATATAGTAGTTATTTATGATGTTTTACATTTATATGCAATTATTAAAGGTTGTAGGTATTTTGATATTATAGCTGTGGTTAGATATAGGTACACCTTGATATAGTTATGTACCTACCTAAGTGCCCGAGGTTTCGCCGTTTCGAGTGAAATTTATAGCCTATGTGTTATGTATAAGCTAAGTTATTGTAAAGTTTCATTAAAATCCGCTTAGTAGTTTTTGCGTGAAAGAGTAACAAACAAACATCCATCCATCCATACTCACAACCGCGTCTATTAGTAACAAGTAAGAAAACGTAATGAAATGTAGTTAAGATTTTAAATACAAGATCTCAATCTTGATTATTTTTAGAGACAATAATATTAATTAAATTAATATCTAGGTATCAAAAAATTTTATGAAAATGTCTCATATAATGTATACTTAACACATAAATCATTGAAATAATTGCTTTTGAAAGACCGATGAAAATAGGTATTGAAAACAAAAATTATAATGACATGAGTAGAAGAGACCTTAGGATAAAATAGATATATTTAGCCACTTTGTATCAAATATTAAGGTAGTAAATAGGTCTTAAATATTACGGACTTATTTTATTTTATGTAAAGTTTTTGAGACTTGTCTTACAGAACTTACGTTTTTATGAACAGAATGATATAAATACATTTACAGTTATGTAGATGCATTAAAAATAATATGGTTGTCTTTTGTCGCTCAATAATAGAGTGCAAGCAGGCAAAACACCAAGAGCTCCACACTCAAGGGAGCCTTGGGTTACATTGGCCTTCAGCACAGGACGAATCTAACATTTATAAGATAGGTACTTTATGTAATTAAAACATTGTATTTAATAAACATAAAAGAACGACGTCCTGCCTATATGACCTGACGATTTTGCCACGGGCCTCACATGGTGAGTAGGTACAGTTACGCCACTGGTTCTCTTCTATTAAAATGTCTACCTACGCATTTCAAAATACCTACTTAAGTGGAACACCTAATATTATCTTATTCCATAATAAAATTAATTCACGGTGCAATGTAAATTGATTACTTGGATATGATAGAATTCTTTTGCATATAATATGGATATTAATATAATAGGTACAATGGCATTACAGGATAGGAGGCATAATATTTTGTTATAAGTTTGTATAAAAAAAAGTTTTGAGCAAATAAAGAATATTGTTATTTTATTATTGGGTAATAGGTACTAGTTAGTATTTACAATTGTAATTGTCGTTAATTTCCTGATTAGGTATTAGATAGGTACTAAATGATTGTTTATGGTTTTAATTAAAAAAGCAGAGAAACTGTAAATATATTCTAATCCAAATTTTATCCATTATCGACGACAGTTAATTTCCTCATAAGAACAATTAACCTTATGAGCTGATTAGGTATTAGATAGGTACTAAATGATTGTTTATGGTTTTAATTAAAAAAGCAGAGAAACTGTAAATATATTCTAATCCAAATTTTATCCATTATCGACGACAGTTATACATATAGGTATACCTACTAAGAAGTGAACTAGACACCCTAGCCTTTAGGCTTTCTTTTTTCTAATTCCAAAACTAGGCTGACTAGTTTTGGGATTAGGAAGAAGAAAGCCTGAAAGCCTTGAACGCAGTAAAACAATTAACTCTTCATAAAACCATAACACATAAATCCATTCAGGTAATTTTTTTTAGGCTACAAATAAATTGCTTTAAGAAAAATGATGAGCCAGGTAGGTCTTGCAGTTGTAACAGTTTCGTCTATGTCAGATCCAGGTAGAGCAGGACGTTACCCAATGAATAGTTTACGTTATTCAACCTGAATATTTGACAGTATCCAGTACTTACACATAATAATAATAATAAAACTCTTTATTGTGCACACATAAAATAATAAGAAAATACAGTAAATACTAAAATAATTACAAAAGGCGGTCTTATCGCTAAATGCAATCTCTTACTGACAACCTAGAAGAGAGGACTTATGTACACATACCTAATTAAGATGCAATTTAGCTCTTTCCGCTGGAATCTGAGCAGTGTTAAACTCGATTATTCTTTTCTGAACCGCTGTCTGAAAGCGTCTCTTATATTTTGACAGTGTTTTGCAAAAATGACTTGCTATCAATTTCATCTAAATCTCTTACTTCACACTGTGCCTGCGATTGTATAAACATAGATGGAGTTAATGCTCGAAGTTCATCTTGACTGTTGCTTATGTAAGTCAGAGGTCTATTGTTAATAGTAGCTTCACAATCGCAAAGTATTGTTTGCAACTCGACGAATGAAAGCGATGCTCTACCTAACACTCTTCGAAGAATTTGTTTTAACGTGCCAATAAGCCGCTCGTAAAACCCTCCCCACCAAGGTGCGCTGGGAGGTAAGAACTTCCATTTGATCCTTGTTATGGTAGAAAACTGCAATATTTCATTCCAATCAAGAGTATTGAATGAATTATCTAGTCCTCTAAAATTGGTACCGTTGTCGCTGTATATAGTTTTGACTCTAAAAAAGTAAACAAGACAATCCATACCTTTGATTCTGATCGTAACATAAGTGGACCTGCTAAATTCACGCCAAAAATATCTGTTACTGTTTCA